ATGACAGCAAGGGCCGAAAGATGACCGACGAGGAGAAGCGTAAAAACTTCCTCGAGCGCAACAGGTATGTCTCGATGATTCTAGTCAACCGTCACACTGCTAACGTATACAGGGTTGCTGCTCTCAAGTGTCGTCAGCGCAAGAAGCAATGGCTAGCCAATTTGCAAGCCAAGGTTGAGCTGTTCAGCACTGAGAACGACGCTCTTTCTGCCACTGTCACTCAGCTTCGCGAGGAGATTGTTAACCTCAAGACCCTCCTTCTCGCTCACAAAGACTGTCCAGTATCACAGGCCCAGGGCCTCCAGGGACCTGCTATGAACAATTTCCTGGGAAGTGATATCAATCACCAAAACCCATACGGCATCGCCCAGATGCAACCCAATGGTGTACACATGATGCCAATGCAACAAGGCCAGATGATGAACCGGTTCGTATACCCATCCCACCCACCCCGACAACACTCTCCCGAGGCACAACAACACGGCCGCTATCAATCGTAAGACCAAGACAGTCGCTCACTCGCGTCCAGATAACTGGGAGTAATCTTGGTCTGATCCCGTCACACGTGTACACCGCCATTGTCATGACTCTTTGTTGTGGCTATGACGCAACGCGTACGGCATCTGCAGCGCCGTCGATCACGATCCGCCCCGTACCAATTTTTAATCTACCTCACCTTTCCCTTTCTCTCTTTATCGGACGCATTGTCGTCACTCGCAATGCATGAACCGGCGCTTGGCGTTGCGTCATTGTTGCATCCTTCCTACATCAAGGAAACGCAACCGCACTCCCGGCAAGACCAAAATACATTTCGCACCTTTCCTTATCGGGCCGGATGGCTGAAGCGGCAAGGAAACATGGGCCTGGCTACCTGCTACACACGCGAACACGAATTTTCTCTTCGTCGTCGTCGATGGTCGATGCTACGACGTTATTCTTCCTTCCTTTGAGTAAACAGTCCATCGTTGATGTGTATATACGGCTTTTTGTGGGTTCACATTCTGGATTGAGGCTGGCATGGAAGGCGTTGGGTTATCGCTATGTGGATACCGAGGTGTCTGATTCTGCGCCTTGACTCTGCTAGCCGGGAGGCGATTATACACCGGGTCGTTCTTTTCTTTTGGTTCCTTATTGACGTCTTTGCGCGCCAGTCTAGTGTTGCGCCGGGCGTTGGGGGGTCTTTTGTATTTCTTGGCTTCCAATCTTTTAGGCTTCGAGCCTCTTTTTATCTCTTTGTTTCCCCAGGCGGTGTACTACATGTCTCGGTGAGCCTCATTTGTTTCTCGAGTCTACGGTAAACAATAAGGTCATGGCGTAGATGAGAGGGAAAAAATTACTTTATACATTAGGATAACGTGTTGGGTGTAGCAGGTACGCTAGGTGTGAGGAGCTGCGGGATTGTGTACGCATACGCAAACAATTGAAAGCTGTTTTGTTCAAGTCATGTTTTGCGTACTTGAGTGATGTTTAGTGTAAATGGCATGTAAGTTGCATAGTAGGACTGAAGAAGTAGGGGTTATAGCTGCATCGCCATATTACTAGATCCCTTACATGTAGATTAATGTACGTATGCACTTTAGGTGCTGCTGTTTGTATCCGAGTTACTATGTCACACATTCTCGCCTATACCTCAAATGTAGTCCCGCCCACAGAACCCCGCTCTGCTTACCCCACCACCCCAACCTCTCACCTGCCATCTCCACTAAGCAAACCCCTCTCACAACTACCCTAATCACGCCCTGCTCTCCACTTTCCCATGTATCCCTCACCTTTTTGCTCCCCTATATATTCTTTCTAACTTTATGCTTTGTCATCAAATCATCCAAGGCACTTTGGCGGAGTGGTTAACGCGCTGGCCTGCTAGTCCCTTTGGGAAAGTTAGCCAGTTCCTTCGGGAGCGTGTGTTCGAATCACACAGGTGTCGCAAGAAACCATTTTTTTGCTGGTTTTTTGCAGGTGGGGAGGGAGAGGATAGGAGAGGGAAGGGGGAGTGGAGGAGAGTGTAGGGGGCTTTTTTTTTAGTAGAGTAGAGGATGCTTCCAATAGTACGTAGAATTGTGCAAATGTGGAATGTATCTTATAGTCTATAGCGTAGATTCTTGAATTTATATGTCGCTAGTTATCTACAATTATAAGAGTCGTATGACGCCTATCACAGCTTTACGACTATTCTATGGTAGGACTAAATGTAGACATGACATGTCAACATCTTGGATAAATTGTCTCCACGCCTTCCTTGCTACCAAAGAAGTTCATAAATACAACTCTGATAACCACCTAGTGAAGATATCCTCTTCACCCCAAGATATCCTATCCACACCTACATAATCCCACACATATCCATGCCCTTACTCCTCCCCCCCGCCTCCGTCGTCGTCTTCGCACAAGTCTTGGCCACATCCTCCAAAACCTCCCTACACAATTCCCCCGTCATAGCACTACACTCAGCATAATGATCACACAGCATCGTCTGCGCCGTTTGCAACCCCTCATGCGGCATAACGCTCTCCCCCTTCCCCTTGCCATCGACCCCATGCTCCGCTGCCGTCCACTGCTTGCGTAAATCGCGCTTTAGTCCCAGCACCATGACAGGCAGGTTCTCGTCGTACGCAAAGTGCTGGTTTACAATGGGCAGCCAGGTCGTGTAGAGTGAGGAGAGGGTGGTGCGACGTGAGATGTCGTAGCAGAGGATTACGAAGTGGGGGTGTAGTAGAGTGTAGTGTGTAGGTGAGGAGGTGTCGTAGAATTGGAGGCGGTAGGGGCGCGCGTAGAGGGTTATGTCAAAGGCGTAGGGTTGGTCTTGGGACCGGAGGGTGGGGAGAGTGTAGGGGGGCAGGGTTGTGCTATTGGGGGGTTGGATACCGAGGGAGAGGCGGCTGAGGACGCTTGTTAGAGAATGGAAAGAAGGGTGTGTGCTGGAGGGATAGGAGGTGTTTTTCCGTATGCGTTGGGTTGGGCGCATGTGTAGATGGACGTACGCGCTTGTGTTAGATGTACTCACGATAAAAAGGTCGATTTGCCTACTTCGGCGTCTCCGAGTAGCAGCACGGTGATCTCGGGTGGTAGTGGCGAGTATTCCATTTTGAGTTTTTGAGTGGCCTTTTCAGGCGCGAGAATGCGTTCAGAGCAGCTTCATTGTTGCGGTCTGGTGGGTGAGAGTTGCGCGTATCGGACGGAATGCTGGGGCGCGGAGATAGGCGATAGCGTTTTTCCTTGGCATTGTATTGGACGTCGACTGCAACTTGGGATGTTGTGTTATTTCCTCCTTTTAGATTTGTATCATTATTCTATGGTACATGGAGTCTTATAGTAGATACTGAGCGAGTGGGGACATCGTCGTAGATGCGCATTGCCGGCTAGCTTCACCATGTCTTCTGGGATAACGTTAGACTTTCTGACAATGGCCCTCGGTTATCCGTCGCAATCATTCATGCCCTCATCAGTCTGCGCGCTTCTATTTGAGAGCTACAATGAACATGTACTACGTTCAGTATTGCTCTGCGACGTCACCCACTATGACCTGTAATCACCGTGTGTCGCTCCACAACCTTGGCAACGCCTTCGACACCGTTGACCGGGAGCCTGGATCTTGTATAGCCTGCTTTTATCTTGCTGGATTACCATCGACAAGATATTTCGCGTTAGAACAGATTACGCTGTGGCCAAAGCACAAGATAACAGTCCCGACCTGCTAAAATCCGTAGGCTAACTACGCCAGCCAAGTACGCTTGCCGTCTTGGAGTCTTGGGAAAAGCATCCTGAATTACTGAATGAGGAAGCTGCGTATAAAGCGCTTGCCAGACGGAAAAACACCAAGCATTCAGCCTCAAATAAATATGGCGACCATGGCGACTTCATGTTTCTGCACGACCTACATCTCCAACTCGTCGCAGTATTCTTACAGCTGCCCGCCATGAAGGTCTCCACCCTCCTCGGTCTGCTTCCTGGAACCGCTCTTGCATCTGATGCTTTGAGCGTTGCATTCTACGCGAAAGAGAAGAGCCAGTTGTACGACTTCATCTCCGCCAACAGTGAGATTGACTATGGCTGCCGACCGGTCGTCATGGCCGCTGGCGATGAGCACAAGCTGCATGCTGTCATCCCGGAAAATCACTTGCATCACTTCAAGCGCAGTCTCAACCCTGACCTTGTCCGTGTCGAGATTCTGCACAACTTGAACAAAAGGCAAACAGCGACTGCGCCGATTGGAAAGGGCGATCGATTCAATGGAGGAAAGGTTGCGCCTCGTGGTCTCGGTACTAGAAAACCCAGCGAATATGCGCAGATTCAAAGCGCCGGTGTATTCAACGCGGATGAGGTCTATACCGCCATGAAGGGCTTGGAGAAGGAATACGGTATGCCCATCTTCACCACACCCTACAAGACATTCGAGAACAACACCATCATCGGCGGTGTAGCGAACAAGGCCGAGAAGATCAACAAGGACAAGCAATACATCTACTTCACCTCTGGCATCCACGCCCGTGAGCGCGGAGGACCCGACAACTTAATTTATTTTATCTCCGACCTGCTCTACGCCAACGAGCACCGCATCGGCCTAACCTACGGAAACAAGACCTTCACCAACAGCCAAGTCAAAAAAGTCCTCGGCGCAGGCATCGTCTTCATCCCTATGCTCAACCCAGACGGCGTCCGCCACGACCAAGCAAACAGCAACCTCTGGCGCAAGAATCGCAATCCAGCCTCATCCACGCCCGGCGTCCCCCTCAGCGTCGGCGTCGATCTTAACAGGAACTTTGATTTCCTCTGGAACTTCACCTCGAAATTCGACCCCAGCGTCGCTCCCGCTTCCACAAACCCGTCCTCCCAAGCCTTCTACGGCACCGCCCCTTTCTCCGAACCCGAAACAAGAGACATGGCCTGGGTGTACGACGAATACCCAAACATCCACTGGTACATCGACGTCCACTCCGCCGCAGGTACTCTGCTCTACTCCTGGGGCGACGACATTGACCAATCCGCCGATCCATCACAGAACCTCTTCAACACAGCCTACGACGGCAAGCGCGGCCTCATCGAAGATACTCTGTACCAAGAATACATCGACCAGGTGGATTGGGATAACGTGGCCCTCGCCGCCAACCGCACAACCGCTGCCATGAACGGCGTTGGCGGCCGCGAGTATGTGCCCCAGCAGGCCGTGGGCTTGTACCCTACATCCGGTGCTAGCGACGATTGGTCGTTTAGTCGCTGGCATGCGGATAAGGGTGTAAACAAGGTTTATGGATACACCATGGAGTTTGGGTATCCGACGAACTTTTACCCCACCAGCGAGGAGTATGTGCAGAATATTCTGGATACGAATGCCGGGTTTATGGAGTTTGTGCTGACGGCTGTGGAGATTGGGTTGAAGGCTTGATTCTTTTTTGTGTTGGTGGGATGTGACTTTGGATGGCGTGCACTAGGGGAAAAGGGGGGTTGTGGTTGAAGAATTGGAGAGAAGATTGGACATTAGAGATTATTGTGTAATGCAAACGATAGAAACTACTATGCTGGGAAGGAGGATGGCTGGCCTGGGTATCATCCGTATGTAAAACGCTAAAGAAAAGAAAAAGACTCCCCCAAATATCTTACGTGGAACCCTCGTGACCAACGCCAGAAAATCGCTGGTCTCTCAGACAAAGTGTGAGGATCCAGGCGCAGGCGTAACCGGTTTGTCATGGGAAACCGACTCGCTTCAAGCAACGATCTCGGGACTATGAGTCTCACGCTCATCACTGCCCTCAAACACCTCCTCTTCATTCCCATCCTCATCCCTATTCCAGTCCTCGTCCTGATCCTCCCACTCTCCCTCATCATTCTCAACCTCTTCTTCTTCCTCAGCCCCCCTACCCCCCTCTTCATCCAACCCTCTCAACCTCGCATCCTCCGCCTTAACCTCCCACCCAAACCTCCTCCACCCGAGCCTCAAAACACAAGGCCACCTCCCCGCCCCCCTCAACGAATCCCACCAATCTTTATGCTCAGTATACTCCATCTTCCGACCCGATCCCTCAGGCTTCTCCAAATCAGCTACGTGCTCAAACAACATCTTCTGCGCCTTAGTGTTGATATCAAGCCTGTCCAGTATCGACTCCTTGATATCGCGGTCGAAACACAACCACTCAACTACCCCGTTGCCGACGCAAAACCCCAGTGCGGAGCCCCCGTGCACAAACACAGAGGGCAGGTAGCCGACTTCCAAGGCGCCTTCCGGGATGATGTCGGTGGCGGTGGTGAGTAGGTTCCGGGAGAGGGGGTCGTCGGAGCCTAGGAGGGCGGCGACGTAGCCGTGGGCGCGTCCTCGGAAGAGGCTCTTGAAGGTGTGGAGGGAGAGGTATGAGGCGGAGTAGTGGTAGATGCGTATGGTGGACGGGAAGCGGTAGTATTGTGCCTGCTTCAACTTGATGCCGTTTGGACCGCGGATTTTTCGGAGACCAATACGTGTGTCCTTTCTCTTCTTGTTCTTGCCGTCGGAGCGGCCGCGCTTCTTGGGGGTGTGTGGCTTGGCCATGGTGTTGGTATTGTTTGCGGCTATTGTTGTGATAGTGGGACGGAGTTGAGTGGGTACGGGTAGGACCAGTAGGTTGGTTTGATGGAGTATTTATTAGAGGTAGGGCGTGGGACTAGCGTGAGGGCGTGGTCTGGGCGTAGCGTGCTTTCACGCTCATAGTGAAGTGGCGCTGGCAGAGGGCGCAGAATTGAGTGGAGTGGAGTGGAGAGTGGCAAATGGGCATTGAGGAGGTAGGAGACTCTCCTAAGATAGAGGCATTATACTTTCCTCTTGCCTGTAAACTAGAATCGTAGATTGCACTGCTTCTGTGCCAGTGAGATGTATAGGTTTTGGTGTTTTTCTATCTTGGCTGTATGGAGCCAAAGCGGCTATTGTGCCGATAATACGTAGCCCGTATAATCTGAATAGAGTAACTTGGTTTGTTTTTGCAGACGTCATGATGATATTATATCTCTTAAGGTAACTTTTGCCTTCAAATCCGGGCCCTTAGTTAAGATATTAATATTAGTGTTGGAAGGTCTATAGCACTAGTGCTGAAAGGAAATAACGATAACTAGGAATGCATTCTGTTCGGTGATTGTGATTGATTTATTACGAACACAGCTGCTACGAAGGTATACCTAAGCTCTGCGCAAGGTGGGCCGAAGTCGGGCCGAAGTGTCCAGCAGCCGACGTCTCTACCGATACTCACGATCCGACAATTAGTCCTTATTTGAATACTCGGGAAAAGATAAGACTACCTCATCACAAAGAAATAACTAGAAAGCAAGGAAGATACTAGGAACTAGTAGTAGGAGTATGCACTCTAATCTTGATAAACTCAAAGTATACATAGACCTCTGTAAGTTTTCAAAGTAACTCTAGGTATGGTCTGTATACCTACCAGATACCTAAGAAAATCTCATTCACATGCACACTGACCTTGGAAGGACAGCTAGCTACCTCATTATATCCTTGCCAATGAAGTCCTAACATTATCGTGGTCCTCAACTACCCAAAACCCTATTAACCTCCTCCCTCTGTCTCCCCAACAACTCCGCCAACTCGGTCCTACGCCTCTGTAGATCCAACAGCAGAGCCTCCGTATTCCTCTCACGCTCCAAGACCGCTGCCTCCCGCCTATCTAAGTGATGGTGTCGGACGTTCTGCGCGGTCTGTAATGCATCTAGAGCTTGCCCGCGGTAGTTGAGGTCCTCTTCACGCTGGATGAGCGCCTGTTCTCGACGGGTGAGCTCGTCGGTATGCTGCAAAGAGCTCGCTTGTAGTGTAGGGCGCTGGGGTACTGCATTGTTTGCATTCGACATGACGTTGTCCCGGTTGGGTACGTGGGTAGCTGCAGGGCCGGAGGAGAATCCATGGTATGTGGGCGATGAAGGGATGGCCAAAGGTGAAGTCATGGCGTGGAAGACAGGGGAGGATGGTGCAGGCGGGGCAGTGAATGTGTTCTCCGGTGTGCGGGCTAGTACGGGTGCCATGCCCAAGCGATCGAAGACTTGATCTGGCAAGGTGGGTAGTGTTGGAGAATTCGCTGCTGGAAAACCTTCTGCCGGGTTTGTATACGAAGGTGCGTCGTCAGGAGGTAGCCGGAAGAGGTTGAAGTGACGGCCAGTATTCAGGATACGGTTAAATGCGCCGTTTCTATTTCTAATGTCTCCACCTCCTAACGTGTTGGACCTGCCGAGTCTATTACTCATCTCGTTGCTAGTACCACCTATGTCTCGGTGACCCGAGACACTGCGATAGCGATGTCGGCGCTGACGTGCAACGTGCGCTCGATCCGTGAGCTGTGCTCGCTCCCGTATATCTGCCACATCGCGCGTAAACTCCTGGAAGCTGCGTACCTGTGTCGCGTACTCTTCTTCAGATTCCGAGTCCGAGTCGATGACGATGGGAGCCTGTGGGACTTGGGGGCGATTCAGGTTGGTATGGAGGGCTTCGAGACGAGGAAGGGGGCGAGGACGCTGATCATTAATGGCTGGTAAGTGGCCTGCTCTCTGGCCATAGGCTCGTATGGAGGATGGGGTACCTGCACCAGATGGTTCGTTCAAGTCATGTATGTTTGTTGAACGAAGTACACTAGGAAATACCCTCGCCCTGGGTATCCAGAATGCCCGGCAAAGGGGACACCGCTTCTCGGCATGTGGTGAACTGCACAATAGCTGCCTCAGGCATTTAGCGCCAATATGGTGGTTGCAGCCTGTGATACCTATGATGCGTAGACAGAGCTCCTCAGTATAGCTCTCCAAGCATATGGCGCACTCATCGTTCGGTGACATGGGGGTCACATGTACAGTGTGATTGCTGATGAACGTAGCTGCGGTACTCGGAGTGCTTGCTGCAACTATAGCTGGTGCGTTCGCTGCAGAGCGCAGCAACTCAGTCGAGAAGTGGGTGGTAGGCAACGGGAGCATTGGGTTGGTGACTTGTCTGCGCTCTCTCGCGTTATTCTCTGCGTCGAGGAAGGGTTGCATAGCCGCATAGTCAGCTAGATCGCGTGAGCCTAACATTATTGAAGCGCAAGTCCTTTGTGTGGTGGTCTTGGATGACAATGCGAAGGTTAAGTAGAGATTGAGCAGGTAAGCGACCTAGAACACCAGAAGAAGGTCACCGCTTAGCCGCGGTGAGTTCAATTACATCCCTCGCCGCGGGCAGACGTGTTCGTCCTGGTGAAGGCGAGTCCTTAGCGCGGATATACAAACGGCGCGTTTGCGTTCGTGACCGCTACTTGCCACTGTGGGGTAGAAACGACAAACAGATCAGTGATTTGACCTCGAATTAGCTCAGGAGAGCGTATAGACTGTGAGAAGAGACTTAGAATAAGAAATACAAGTAGTTATAATGAGTTAGCAAAGGAGGGTCTTAAGTGATGCGTATCAGATTTTATACTAGGATAGCTCGTGACAGTTAAGAGAGAGAGCACATATTTTGTGGAGGCTTTCAAGGGTAGATCAGGGTCAATTTATAGCTGTAATTGGGTAGGGAGAAGGGGGGTTGTTCAAGAGCAGAAGCCTTGGGTCACATGTGGGTGTCATATGTGTAAGGTTACAAACATGTATATCAGCAATATTTGACAACAAATGCGGACTTGCTGATCTCTTGAGAATTGGTGAGAATTGGATAGAAGAAGGTAAGACATTCTATGATTAAAGAGACTACAGCCTGATATGACCCTAAGTATGAAGTGTAAAACGCAAAATAAGAACCATCTCCTAAGAAGATGAGAAGTATAATATGAAAAAAGAAACATTCCTCTAAAGCTGAAAGACACAAGCTGTGCTGCTTTTTCATGACCTCAGGGTCTGTAAGGAGGAGGTGGCGCATCATACTCCCCCAACTCTGTAGATACGGTAGGCGTATAAGCTGCCCCTTGGTGGCCATGCTCATATCTGTATGTCTCCCAATCATGATTGGCAGTATGTCCAGCACTATACGCCTGATCGCCAGCCATCTCGTATGTGAGGCCCGGCGATGTAGGCGTAGCGCCAAAAGCTGGTGTTGACACGGAGAAGCCCGCATTGCCATACGGACCATTGCGCGGTATAGCAGGCGACAAGGCTCGACTTTCTTGCTCCTGTGCATTCTGTGGACGTGTCCCGTTTGCAATGGGCATGCGCGATAAGGTTGCGAAAGAGTCGCTGCGTTGTAGGCTAGGCTGAATGATGATCTGGGGTTTACGCTGCGGGACCGGCCGTCTCGGGATGTTGAAGCTCTGGGTGTGGGGAGGGGCGTGCGGCCGGTGTTGGAACTGCGTGTTCGCTTGAGGCTCTGCCTGGGATTGACAGAATTGCGGGCGAGGCTGCTGCGGCACTACGGGGGCATAACACGCGTACTTTTGCGGCGGTATCGCGGGCGGTTGTTGGTGTTGGGCATGGTGATTGGCTTGCTGAGGCCAGTTCTGCTGTTGTTTGGTGCAAGTTGCACCCGGGAACGTCTTGTTCCGCTTATGCTGCGTGTCTTGATCGACCCTCTCTTTCTCATTCTTTTTTCGGTAGTGTCGGTGGAGGAGATATCCACCGGCAACTATCTCGAGGCCACCAAAGATCATTTTGCCGTCTGGAGTAGAACACAAGCAACGTTTGGGGCAGAAGATGCTGGGGAGGACAGTGACCCAAGGCAAACAGTTTTTTTGCTGGGCAAGGAAGGGGAGGAATGACTGAGGCCATGATGTCGGACGAGGTGCTGCGCCTCTATTGTCGGGCTATTTGGGAAAGAACTACTGGCTGCCGCATTCCCGTGTGGTGGCGGAGTCTGATAGCGCTGAGCGGACATGTCCAATCATCATTGCTCGCTTAGATACCCATTTATGGCGGCATACCCCTGCCAAAAAGTCGTCGTTCCCGTTGCGTGGAGAAACGGTTGTGACAAAAAGTGTGACTAGTCTTGATATCTCAGTCTAGTGTTGAGGTGTGAAGGATTCTGTATCGCATCGAGTGTGTCAATGCTTTGGATCAAATTGGGCGACGTTTGGCGAGGTATTACCGAATACAGTAAAGCTTGCGAGATGAACCGACATTCTGGCTCTGGCGGTGATGTCCTGTCGACTTTATCACCCTTCATATTCTTCAGGCTCCCAAGTCCTCCATCAATTCAAACTTAATCCAACAGGAGGACTACTATGGAGTCGAAGAGCAAACATGAAGCATCTCTTGGAGAGCTCGAGTTACAACCAACACGAGAACCAGCAATTGAAAACCCAACTACAAGGCTCAACCCTCCCATTGAAGAGACAAGTCTAACAAAAAGAAACCTATTCAAAGTCCTCGCAGCAAGCATCTCATTCTTCTTCGCCGGAAATAATGATGGAAGTCTAGGAGCACTAACACCCTACATCTTACGAACCTACAACGTAGGCACCGAATACGTAGCGTTGATGTAAGCACCCCTTTCCAGCCCAAACCCCCCTTAATACCCTATACCAACTTACCACTAGCTATGGCGCCACGTTCCTCGGCTGGCTCTTCGCCGCCGCAAAAAACAGCCACCTAATCCGGTACCTAAACCTCGGTGCCATCCTCACCCTGGGCGCCTTCATCCAACTCCTCGCCCACACCCTCCGCTGCTGGACCCCACCCTGCGCCCTCTACGTCATCACCTTCTTCTTCCAAGCAACAGGCATGGCGTACAATGAATCCCACGCCAACACTTTTGTCGCCTCCATCGACGGCGCACACCGACTGTTGGGTTTCATCCACGCCATGTATGCACTAGGTTGTCTAATTAGCCCGTTTGTAGCGACTGCTATTGCAGCGAGAGTGGGCGGGGAGTGGATGTTGTTTTATTTGTATCTTGTAGGCATTGGAGTGGTGAATGTGGGGGTTGTGGGTGTAGCGTTTAGGGATTGTTTGGGTATGCATGCAAAACCACAGCAGTCTGCTGCTCCTGGAGACCCTTATGGTGAGGGTAGTCGCAGCAGGATTGCTAATCGTGATATCATCGATACGCTCAAGTCGCCGTCGGTCTATTTGCTTTCGCTCTTTTACTTCTTCATGTTGGGCACGGGGATCACGGCTGGTGGGTGGGTGGTTGAGTATTTGATCGAGGCTCGGAACGGCCGTCTACCTGATATCGGGTATGTTCCTGCGGGGCTGTGGGGTGGAGTGTTTCTTGGACGAGTGGTTTTGGCGGAACCTACGCATCGCTTTGGGGAAAGAAGGATGACGATGGTGTACTGCGTTTTGATACTTGCATTACAACTGGTCTTTTGGCTGGTCCCGAGTTTGGTCGGTGGCGCCGTGTCCATCTCGATAATAGGTTTCTTCTATGGATCTATGTTCGCTACGGTAAGGCTGTCTCAAAGTGCAAAGATTGAGTGTACATGCTAATTTTTGATAGGGAATGAGTATTGGATCGAAATTGTTCCTAAAGGAGATCCAAACTACGGCACTTGGATTTGTCTTTGTACTAGCGCAAGCCGGGGGCTCGTTCTTTCCGGCTGTCACGGGTATCATTGTTAGTGAAGCAGGAGTCAGGGTCATGCAGCCTGTGCTCGTAGGCTTGATAGTCTCAATGGGAATCTCGTGGGCGCTGGTACCAAAGGTGAAAAAGCGGAATGAGTGAGCGGTCATGCATCATGAAAGGATACCCCACGCTCTACAGACGAATCGAAGACGAACTCGGATTTTTTTTTCTTAGTTTGGCGACGTAATAAAAAACCCCACCTGTTGTATTGAAAATCAGCCGACGTATTCTCCAACCATGATGTACATATGGTAGATGTCTACTCCAAACCCGGTAATTATGCAGGGATGATATTAGCCACACTCCTCCAAAAGTCACATCGAGCACCTCGTCCATTTTCCCAATTATACGCATTTCCCAGGGTAAACTCATTTACAAGTCCGGGTCCCATAGCATACGTTAAATTGACCGGCGCTATCGTTCGACTCGGGTCTTGAATCAGCTGACCACCAGTCTGATTAAGGTTGACGAGATACGGTTGTGGGACGGTGTAAACAGGCCACTGGGTTGCTGCTCTAACTTTGGCTGTTGCATTTGAGCCGGCAGCAACAGAGGCTGGGATCGAGGGATTGCCTTTCGTAATGAAGTTGCCCCAAATCGTCATGAAGGCGCGTTGGAAGTCGACACTGAGGAATGGCACTTTTCCAAGTGGGCCAAGGTAGCCGGCCACATCTATGGCATGTGTGGCTGGCAAGGCGCTGTATTGATATTGGTACGATGTACGACCGCCGCCGGAGTATGCTGCAGCGATCCAGTATGAGGGACAGATGAAGGTTAACTCTGCATAAAGATTCTATGTGGTGTTAGCAATGCGAAAAATGTGCGGAGGAAAGTGAACGTACGTTTGCTCGTTGTTGTTGCCCCACAGCGACCGAGCTTTGGTCAAGTGCACTGGGTCCTGAGAGACCGGTGGTTGCGAATTTGACCGCATTGGGTGACTCCGTATTGTTTTTGATAGGGTACCAAGCCAGGACTTCGGCAATATCCGAGTCCGAAAAACCGGGTAGGGTGCCTCGAAGCCACGACATAAATTGGTCTTGAGAGGTGATATTTTGCGGTACAAACAACGGCCCTTCGTCTGTATATATTTTGTTAGTTCCAGTATATTATTCATTCTGATTGCTTGATTCTTACCGGCAGCATTTCCAACCAAGGCGGTTCGCCCATTCACACGCTTTTCAAGCAGCTGCTTACTCGGTGTACTTTGCACAAATGATCCGTCGGTAACGGGAAGGAAGGTCCATTGGCCAGCAGCTCCGGCAGCTCCAACTTGAGTTGAAGCGTTCTGCAATGTTGCGGTGTCCTTTGAGAGAAGGCACTCAAAAACCGTGGAATTCGCATCTTCGCATTCGTCTACCGGGCATCCCGCGCGCTCCGCAAATGCATAGTAGCTCTTTGTCGGTATCGAAGCATTATATGCGTGCTGTTTTGGCAAATACGGCGAGGCAGCGATGATGTTGTGGAATAGCGAGTTTTTGTCGTGCCCACCATATGCCATGTCGTGTAGCATAACGGAGCCACCACCGGAGCTTTCGCCTGAAATGGTCACAGCTGAGGGATCTCCGCCAAATTGCGATATATACGCCTGAATCCATTGTAGCGCAAGATACTGGTCATGCAATCCAGCATTGACAACACCTTTCCGGGCTACTTCATCCGAGGCCAGGAATCCAAAAGGACCAAGCCTATACTGGATAGACACGACGACAAAGTTCAATCCGTTGGTGGTGAGGATATCGGTAAAATCTTGCTGACCGCTCCCCAATCCGTAACCGCCGCCATGAATCCATACCAAGACAGGAAGATTGGTCGCATTGGCTGGGCTTTGGACATTCAAGAAAAGACAGTCTTCAGAGCCTGGTGCAAGCTGAAACGTTGCGGGCGACCCACCAGCGGCGACTTGTTTACACTCAGATCCATAGGTGTCGGCTTGTATGGTTCTGGTGCGATTCACAGCTGGGGTATGTGGTAGTTGCCAGCGGAGTTTACCTGTCGGAGGTGCAGCGAAACGAATACTAGGAGCTTACGTCAGTCAGAGTCAATATTGTTAGACTTTTGCTAACCCTACCCTTTCCATGTGTTGATACCAGTACTCGAGTTGCTGACGCCCCGGTATATCTCATAACCAAGGTCTACCTCAAGGCTGCCGCTTGTAGTGCTGTGTCTCTGGCGTAGCAGCTCACTGAAAGGCTGGGAGTGCGGCGACGCCACTGCCGTACAAGAAACCGATAAGACACCCGCAAAGAGTGAAATTAGCTGCATGATAACTGGAGTTGATGAGCCAGGCTTGTTGCATGTACCAGAAACGCGCAAACAACCTTCGAGTTAAGTAGACGTTTCTAGTCACCGTAATTTCACAGTCGTTCTTGTCTCCGGTTGAGATGGCATCCGAGTTCCGGTATTTCATACCTGAGCGTTACGTGATGCCACGCACACAAATTCCCGATAGAACCGCGAAGACTCTTGGCATTGATCGAGCAATGGCATTGGACTATAATCGCATCTAGCGTCCATCGGTGAGTTTCCGGATATTGAGAGGGCACGGCTCAGCTGGTACACCTTGGCCCGCTGACAGGTGTGGAAGAGCCCGGCAGATTGGCTCGGCCCAACTACCGCCCAACGCACTTTCCAGGTTGCGTTTATTTACAAACAGAGCATGCTTTGACATGAATGAAACCCAACAATGAAAAGTACAGCTAAACAGCCGAACACAAACATAGAAAGACCATGTGCGTTCGATGTCAACCTTCCCAATATGAGCTACATGGGTAGTTCCGAGCGGTAAGTAAGCTGACATAGGCACGGACTTATGGACCTCGGACCCAAGGCTGGACGTCGTGCATCTCCCGGATGGACATTTTCACAGCATCCGAAAGCCAATCAGTATCGCATCTGCTTAAGACGGATCTTGTTCGCAATACTGTGGTTGTGCTGAGAGCCAAAGCTCGGGTAGACACTGAGGACTTCGATTCAACACGTGATAAGTCTGCTGTCTTACTGAATAGGGGTCGCTCCTTACCTGGATAACACCCGCTGGCTCATACACTAGTTGTGTTCTCCAGTTAACCACGTTTCCCACGTGGCCTTTCTCCGCAGTGTCGGGTTTATTGTCGAAACTGATACATAGTATCTTGGAGGAGTTATTATGTCGAGCCGACTGACATACCACTAACCTCAACGTGAATCCGTATTCGGCGCTAGTTCTTCGAGTCTTCTTAACAGCATTTCTAGACGTCATTAATACCACTACGCTCTCACGACTGAGTGAGAAAGGGGTCTTCTTAAATTTTCTGACCAGATGCGCCTATCGTACTTCAGTCTTTCCACCAGAACTCCTTGTGGTGAATCATCTATACTAAGTATTCCTAGAATCTGCAAAAGTTAGAGCACCCGTACTTGTACGAACAGAACTTGCAATTGATAGGAGACGATAGGTTTTCCCCTTTCTCTATTTCCCGTCCGATCACGTATGCATCTTGAGTGGATCTAATCGCCAGAGATAGGTGTGGCGCATCTATTTGAATGTGAGAAATACAATCTTCTCGCTCCGACGGTGATAAGTCCGACCCGAAGTCCAATTTGGAAGTATTCAAGGATAAGTTTTCCGAGCTTTATAATGTCCAGGACGAATGTATGTCCCCCAAAGTTAACCAAACCGGCTACTTACCTAGGTAAGGTCTGGAACCAGAGGTGATCTGCGATTTAATTCACAAGAACTAGTCTATCGGGTCACGGTCCACCGGAGAGTGATACCCGTACTAATCTTACTCCAGAACGGCGAAAAATAGTGGAGTGTAAAGCAAAGTGTATTCATTGACGCATAGAATGGAGCCAACATAAAGAAAGGACGTCGATGCAAGCATACGCCAAGCAAGGCGTCCAGCATGTCGGAGTTCGGCTCACATCAACACGGGAAGAACGGTTTCTCCAGTCTTGGCACACATCATCAGTGGGATACTCACACTTCCCATAGAAGACCCACTGGGCAGCTGATTCCTGTTTGGTGTATTCGAGGCACTACTACTGCGAATCAACCTTTCATTAGATGTAAGGCCCGCCTACCGGGGTGATACAGAACGCCTTACTGACGTGGAGCTCGCCGCCTTATCAACTAAGTCACAGTGCCGCGATCATGAATCCCTATATAACCTCCATGTAATCCCAATTCGTCTACCTAAGCAGCGTTTATCCCAACCAAACCAAAAAATACACGTCCAAAACAACAACCATGCTACCAACCCATCCCCTCCTCACACTATCTCTCCTCCCCTTAACCTCAGCCTGGGATTTCTACGCCAACCACACAATCGGCTCCTGCGTCGAAGTCGAGTGCCCCGCCGCCGACCCTGCTGAAGCAAAAGGCCAGGTCCTCTCTGGATGCCGCGTTCAAAACCAAAACCACCGCACCATCGGCCTGCGCACCTTCTCCACAAATATCACTGAAAACACATCTCAGAACCTCACCTGGACAGTCGGCATGACACTCTACGACGGCATCGACGCCCAAGGCCGCAACGCCAGCGGTACACGAACCGTCGAAAAAGACTATTATCTCGGCACGCCAGCGAATCTGAATCTGTCGAGGAGTGATCTGCCGTACGAAGGCTGTGCGTTTCTTTTCAGGGAGAATAAAGTTACCGGGCCGACGTCGCTTGGGAATGCAGGACCATCTTGTAGCGATGTAGTCGGGGATTGTGGACCGGCTTTGTTGACGCAGGCGAGGGGGTTGGTGGCGAATAGTAGTATGATGACGGCGGGGGATGGGAATCAGACGACGGAGCAAACGTGCACGCGTCTTGCGGCTCAGTTTAATAGCTCTTTGCCGGGCGCTTGTGAAACCTTCGCGGGACAGGATCGTTGGAATGGTATTACTGGTATAAGTGCGTTTTTTCCACCTTTCCCACCCCTCTTTCATATTGCCCATAGCTCCAGCAATCCTAGAATACTAACACATCCCCTCCTCCGCAGCACTAACCGGCCCCTCTGCAATCTATCCACCATCACCCTCAGCAAACGCATCTTCAAACTGCCACCCCACACTCCCCAAATCAAACAACTTATCCTGGGCGGCGGCATACAACCAAACAGGTACCTATTACGCCGGATCTACGATTCAGATGATCAACGGCGTGGATCTTGTTTTGACTTTGTTTTGGTCGCCGGATGGTGATGTGCAGGGGGCGTTGGAAGAGCCGGATGTTGATGTCGAGTGTTTGTGGCCGATTGCGCTGAATCAGCGAATGCTGGATACCCAGGCGGATGGAGGGGCTGTGGGTGTAGGTTGGAGCTGGACTGCTGTTGTTGGTGCTGCTTGTGTGCTGTTTGCGGGTATGCTTGTGTAGTGGTTTGGGGATTCATTGCAACTGGGTAATATGAAACACTTAACATGCTGGTATGTTAAAGCTGCTGTAGGCGACAGTCACGTCTACCGAGTGTACCTACATTGGCAAGTATCACCACCCAAGTGCGAGGTCAGAGGAAGCTTTCCAAGTGAAAATAACGCTCATTATGATGATGCTACGCTAACCATGTCCGCCGCTCAATGCTTGAACGCCATTTATCTCTCGCGAGTCCGTCCCTTCTTGAGCGATCTAAGAACCCCCCCAAAAAGACAAAAAGATAGAAAGAAAAAGCATACAAAGTACTATTACAATAGACCATCCGTGCCCAGACCGAGAACTCCGACGAATACCAAGTCCCTAGTGGACAAAAAATTGTAAGAAAAGTTCATTTGTCGATGGTATAACGCAATCATGTCCAAACCAAAAAACGCCAGCTTCATTGAAGAACCTTTCTCTTTGCCCAATATATTTGCTCCATGCCATGCAAAATCAAGCAATCCTTCTCTTCAAACCACCAAGTAACCCCTTGAGGCCACTTGATTCTTCCTTCTTCTTCCTCCTGTCTCGTCGCTCAGTCTCGCCTCGCTTGGGCCGCGGGCGCTCTTCACCACGGTCCCTAGTGCGTGGACGATCAGATTCGACACGACGACCAGAAGGCCTCTCTTTCTCGGTGACGGAGATGCGACGTGTCTTTGGGCGTTCTTCGAGCTTGGACGGCCGCCTGCTGCGACGACGCTGGCGACGCTCCTCATCTGAGATGGAAGGTACACCAACGACACCGGCAGAGTCTTCAATGATTGGTGAGTCGTCGATCACTTCAGCGTCCATCTCATATTCGAAAGGCTCGGGCGGTGGCGGAGGAAGATCATCGACAGGTTGGGGGACAGACATTCCTCCATCACGACCGCCAGACATCTCATGTTCTGGACGGCGCATGTAACGTCGCTCTTCCTTCCATTTGTAGTAGTCCGCTTCCTCTTCGGGCGATGCGAATTGGCGGCGTTGGGCGTGTGAGTGACGGCGACTGCGATGAGGACGTTCGGTACGTTCGCGGCTCTCGTTCGATGAGTGATCCCTACTTGAAGGCCTGTCCGTCTCCAATTCTCTCCGCGATACCTTGACAAGACCCTCCATGGTGTTGGCGCGTGCGCGAGTCGACGATCTCGTGGGCTTTGAGGTAGGTGAGGCAGTTTCGGTTTTTGAGCGACCGAAGATGCCAAAGAGGCTACCACGCTTCACGTTTGGTGGAGTATCGCGGGTACTCAGGCGTCTACGTGGGGCACTGCGAGGAGGGGTTTCGACGTCTAGAGGCGGAGGCGGAGGGGAGGAAGAGTCAAGTTCGTCTTCTTCCGCAACTCGTCGAGCAGTATCCCGAGATGGCTCCATGAAATCCTCATCCCTCGGTCTTGGGGCGGTCAACTTGGCTGCCTCACGCTCTGCTCTCTTCTGTCTTCGTAGCCTTCGAGCCTCTTCTTCGTCGCGCAATGCCTGTTCAGCCCTCTCTTTTTCCAAAAGCTTTGCCTCTTGCTCCTGCCGCCTTGCTTCTTTCTCAGCCTCATGCCGTTGCCGTCTCTTCTCATGTCGAATACGCCTCTCCTCTTCTTCTGCGGCGGCCTTCTTCTCCTCTTTGAGTCTGCGCCGTTCTTCAATCGCCCTTACAAGTTCTTCCTCTGCCCGTTTAACTGCACGACGACGCTCGCGATGCTCTAGTTTTCTTGCTTCCTCTTCAGCCTTGAGCCTAGCAGCATCTGCCGCGGCGAGACGCTCTTTCTCAGCTCGTCGAGCTTCGCGTCGCCTCTGTCGTTCAGCCTCCTCTTCTTTCTCATCAACAATGCGGCGCTTGACATGTCTGTCCCCAACTTTGACGTCATGGTGCCGCGAGCGATACTCTGGGTAGGCTCTCTCTCTGTCGCTGCTGCTGTTGGTTCTCTCGGCCTCGCGGAGCCTTTCTTTTCTGCGCTCGGCGGCCTCGCGTTCGGTCATGCTGTCGCGTCGCTTAGTCTTTGGCGGCTCAGGAGGAGCTGTTGAAGGCATTGCTGGTCGATCCCGCGTGCTAGCACCACTTTCGCGTCTGCGACTTGAGTGATGGTGACCGTCTCGATGGGCACGTGAATGACGACGGCGCGTTTTCTCTTGAGTAGGAGTCTCAGATGGAGGTCCGTCTTCGACAGCAAATTCGCGATCCCTAGCAACATCATCGTCGGCAGATGTGTGCACAACAGGAATTGCAATCGTTGGAGGCGGGGGTGCGTCGATAGTTTCACTCCTCTCGAGAGGCTCTTCTGCAGGGACTCCTTGGTCGGGTATCTCCTCCATAAGTTCCCGCGCTTCGACTTGATTGTCTAGTTCTGGCACCTCCTGGTGGGCTTCTTCTTCTTCCAGTGGCTCAGGAGCCTCTTCCTCAACTATGGGAGTCGCGTCGACCATGGCCTCTGGTTCGATCGGAGATGCCTCGGGTTCAGCAGGCTCAGGTTCCGGCGCTGCAGCGACCTCTGGTTCGGGAGATTGCTCAGGCTCCTGTGCTGGTTCTGGGATCTCTGGAGTCTCCTCAACGACTACCTCGGCGGTTTCTGGCATCGGTTCATCTTGTTCTTCGGGTTCGATTACAGCCTCCGGTTCTTGCGTTGGCTCAGGCTCTTCGATGTGCTCCTCTTCGACAATGGGTGCTGCCTCGATCTGAGGCTCCTCTTCAGCTGCAGGCTCAGATGGCGGCAGTGACTGCTCCTCGGCCTGGACTTCGGCCTCCGGCTCTGGATCAGCTGGAGGCTCGTCTTCGACCACGGGCTCAACCACCACTGGTGCTTCATCTTCGATCTGAACCTCGGATGTTGGCACAAGTTCTTCCTCCGCAGACTCCTCAACCACAGGTTCTTCCTCCGCAGGCTCCTCCACCACAGGGTCTTCATCCGCAGAGTCTTCCTCCACAGGCTCTTCCTCTGCTTGGGGTGCTTCAGGGATTGGCTCGGGTACTGGAGCCGGTTCAGGTTCCACTACATCGTCCTCATCATCGGGTGCAGCCACCTCAACTACACTCTCTTCTGCAACGTCCTCCGTAGAACCCGCCGGTACTTCCTCACTCGCTTCTGCCTCTACGGGTGCAGCTTCCTCTGCGGGCTCTGTATCTTGCATTGCCGGGGCTTCCTCGACAGCTGCCACAGCATCTTCCTCAGGTTCTTCTGCCGGTGGAGGCTCTGGTTGGTCATCCAGCTTCTCTTCCTCAACAGCGGGTTCAATTGCATCTCCATCTTCCTCTACGACTGATTCTTCAGGAGCCGGTGCAGGCTGGTCTTCTTCTTGCTCTTGGGTTTGGACTGAGTCAACCTCTGACACGGAAGCTTCGCTCGCATCCTCACCCTCGTCTGCGGCATCCTCAACCTGCTCTTCCGCTGGCTCTTCAGCTTGAGCCTCAACTGCCGAAGATTCTGGCTCGATTGAAACTTGAGAATCGTCCCAGCCAGAATCAGCCTCGTCTTCGTCAGGTGCAGTCGCTGGCTCTTCCACCTCACCGGCCGCGTCAACTGAAACATCACCAGCATGCACTGCGACGTCATTTGGCACGATGGAATCCGCTTCGTCTTCAGCCTCCTCAGATACAGGTGCAGCGGAAGTTTCCAACTCTTGGTTTTCTTCCAGCTCCACCGCATCGGGAGTTTGTTCTTCCGTAGCGGGTGGTTGATGTTCAGCACTGTCAACATCTGGCGATTGCGACTCAGCCTCCTGGGCTTCGTCGTAACTCTCAGGCTCGCTCACCACGGATGCATCGTTTTCTGGGTTTGGCGCGTCACTCGGCTCAGGTACGTCTGCAGGAGTAGTAGCATCTTCCGCGGACTCAGCAGATTCTCCCATGGAGACCAAGGAGTCGTCGTCTGTGGCTGTTTCCTGAGAGATGATGCTATCGTCAGAATCACCTTCTGGCAATTCCTTCGAGTCCTCTTCGGGTGAGGTTTCCGATTCAGGCTGTGGCTCGGGCGGTGCGGACTCAGTTTCCGGGATGATTTCAGATGTCGCAGCTGGGACTTCGAGTGATAATTGCGGGTCAGGGTCCGTGACTGCAGGGTCCTCCATGAACGACTCGGGATCAGCGCTTTCGTCTCCGTCCTCGGTTTGGCCAGCATCTTCCTCTGTCACGGGAGCAGTTTCTTCAGGCACGGGAGCGGTCGCAACCTCAGAAGCGGTGAAGTCAGAACCCGCGTCGTCGTCTGCAGGCATTTGGTCATCCTGCGGCGCTTCGGGCTCATCAATAATCACAGAAGGTTCGGCGTCTTGTGGCACATCTTCACCCTCGTCTTCTTCATCTTGACCGACAATGGAGTCCAGCGTATCGTCAGCATGTGAGGCTGCACTTGCGTGAGCTGCTTCAGAGACTTCAGACCCAGACCAGTCGTCATCTTCCGACTCGGAATCGCTTCCGATATCAGACTCTGGCTCTTTCGCTTCCTCAATTGGTAGTTGAGGCTCTTCATGGCCACCGTCCTGGAGGACCTGTGTTGATTAGCACGAGATCGTTTTGAACAAACACAGGAGGCTGTGAGAGGTCAAACGAGGAGTTGATGATAGTATACGTACCACCTCCGACGCATCCTTAGCCGGCATGTCTGATGCAGAGCTGCTTTCGCCTTCTGCTAGCGTTGGACTTGCTACGGGGACATCCTGCTCGATCGTTTCCGGGATGACTTCAGTAGCGGTGGGATCAGTCAAGGTATCGTCAGGTACGGTGTGGTTGCTTGTGGGCGGTTCACTTGGCGCCTCAAGGTCAGCCTCCTCTAAGACCGAACTTGGGCTGGCTTCGCTCGTCGCGTCAGCTGGGCATGACTCGCTCGGAGTCTCGTCGACTTTGGCCAGATGTGCTTCAGTGTCGGCTGTACCCAGTCAGTCCCTGTGACGCGTTTCCAGGCCCAAAATTGCAAAAAGAAAGTGTCGTGTCAAAAGAAAGTACGGTCACAAAAAAAGCGAAGGTAAGAATCGGGCTTGCCGGGGATATCGGGACCCAAAAGACAAGCGGCAGAACTAGCGCTTAGCAAAACCACGCATCTCTGAGTCTCGGCAAATTGCGTGCATGCGTCGCAGCCCAAATGCAATGGCTCAACGCATGCAGGCACGTGATGATAAGCTAAATGCTGGAGCGATGGCAGAATGTGCTGGCAGTGTGGGCCAGTGGAAATTTCTGGGGCGGCCAATGAGGCTTTCCCACATACAACACGCTAACGCGATTCGCGACGTGCATGCCGCTATCGTGAAACCGTGCGCATTTGGACCAGTACGATCCAGAGTGAAGATGCATGCGACCTGAGGATGGGAAGCTTAAAGAAACATTTGTGTACGTACCAGCTTTTATGCTTTGAGATTCCACGTCATCGGCGATGGCCGCCAGTTGTTCGTCGTCTTGGGCAACTTCAACGCTCTCCACCGGCTCCTCATCAACGGACACCTCTTGAACGGCTGCAGCTTCCGATGCATCTGTTGCAGAAGGAGTCAAATCGCCCTCATCGACCGTGTTCGATTGTATGGGAGTGGGCTCGGCTTCTGGTGTCACTGAGGCGTCGCTGGCAGAGGCGTTGGCGTCTTCACCGCTAATGTTCGCGTCCTCAGTGCCTTGAACTTCATCTGTTCCAGTGACTTCCTCAGTTCCTGCATCTGCAATCGGTGCATCGACAGTGGCATCTGTCTCGGGTGTATCAAGTGACTCTGATACCTTGTCGTCGGCGATTGTTACACCATCTGCTGCATCCTTGGCATCGGCATGTTCTGCTGAGGCACCATCATGGCAGTCCTCGACTAAAACAATGTTGACCGTCTCAGCCGTCTGTGGGATTGCCAACTTGTCTTCCGCCTCGGTGATATCGAACGAGCTTTTGGCAACGCTGGAGTCCTCCGTGTCTGGATGTTCGGATTCGTCGGTTTCGCTCTGGCCCGCTCGTGAAGAGTCGTCGTCGTCGTCCCTTTCCCAGTCCGAGATATCATTCTCGGATTCCTCAGCACCTAGCTCCGCGGAAGGGCTTATGTCATCGAGAATGTCCTCCAATTCGGGGGTGGCAGCAACTTCGTCGGGTGCAGCACTGGTGTCATGCACACCGTCTTCGTTGGAAGCCTCGGTGTCGACCAGATTGTCCACTACCACTGGAAGCTCACTCTGGGTTACGTCAGCCACAACATCCTCCGATGATGCCTCTTCGACTACGTGATCGTCGACGAGAACTGGGTCGGCGGCAGCCTCTGCTACATCAGCTACCACCTCGGTTGCCGGTGCGTCTATGGGCGACTCGGTCAGATCGTCTACAGTGTCGATGGCGCTATCCGCTTCACCAGAAGTAGCTGGGGTGGCGTCATCGATAACGGCGGGCTCAGTTGTTTCCATTGTATCTTCGACCTGTGCTTCAGCTATGAAATGTCAGAATGATAACATATCTCTTATGTCGTGTGGCGAATGTGAACGAGTGAAGTAAAAGTACGACTTACTTGTTGCATCGGTGGTGAGTGGGTCCTTCACGCTTTCGCTCTCACTTGACGATGCATCTACAGGAGCAGACTCGGCCGCAGGTATTGAAACCTCGCCCGACTCCTCAGCAACTGGCTCTTCAGTGACAACGGGGTGAGCCTCCTCGGGCTGGCTCTCTACCGCGGGTTCCTCAACGACAGGAAGGTCTTGTGCAGGCTCTGTTGAACTGTCGCTTACCTCCTCGTTATCTTCGGGGGAAGGAACTGGCGCCGGTGACTGTTCTTCGACGACGGGAGACTCTTCGCTAGTGGACTCTTGTTCCGGAAGCGAATCGTCAACCGACACGCGTGCTTTTTCCGTGGCTTCAGCAGCAGGCGTAGCCTCTTCAGCAGCGGTAGATCCTTGAACACTAGTAGACTCTTCAGCGGCTGATGCCGGATCGGTTGCCGGTATCTCGTCGAGAGGGGGAATCTTCTCTTCTTCAACAGCGACTTCTGGCTCTGGCAGTAGTGCTTCGTCCACAGCAGGCATTTCTGTTGCAGCGATCGCCTCAGAGTCATCATGCACCTCTTCAGCGACTGGTGCCTCGTCAACCACCGATGTCTCTTCAACTGTCGGTATCGCGTCGGCAACATGCGTCTCCTCTGGGGCTGATGTTTCCGCAGTAGGCGTCTTATCGAGAGCAGGCGCGTCATCGGCAGCAGGGGCCTCTTCAGTAGCTGGCTCTTCGGTAATCGGTGTCTCCTTTGTAGCTTGCGTCTCTTCAACAACTAGTGGTACTTCCGCAGCAGGCGCCTCTTCAGCAGATGGAGTCGCGTCGGCAGCAGAAGTGTCTTCGGCAACGGCTGCCGCCTCTACAGCTGGTGTCTCCTCGGCAGTAGATGCGTCGGCAACAGGGGTCTCATCAGATGGGGTTGCTTCGGCAGCAGGGGTGTCTTTTTCTGGAGTAGATGTCTCTTCAGGAGCCGGTGTCTCTGCTGCCGGTGTCTCTGCAAAAGGCGCATCGTCAGGAGCAGGCGTCTCCTCAAAGACTGGTGTCGGTTCGTCAACGGGAGAATCTTCCGGAGCAGGCGTCTCTTCTGCGGCTGATGTTGTTTCCGCAGATGGGGCCTCTTCTGTAGCCGGTGTCGCTTCAATGGCAGGTGCCTCCTCGACAGCAGGCGTCTCTTCGACAGGAGGCTCTCCAGCAGGCGTATCTTCTGCGGCTGGTGTTATTTCTGCAGATGTGACATCTTCATCAGCAGTTGCCTCCTCGGCAGCAGGCGTCTCCTCAGCAGGCGTTGCGTCAACAGGAGCTGGTTGCTCTTTGTTAACGCTCTCCTCGACTGCGGATGGTTCATCCACTGTTGGTTGAGCTGGTGTCTCCTCAGCAGGAGCTTCGTCAACAGAAGCTGGCTGCTCCTCGGTGTCAGCGACCTCCTCGACTGCGGGTGGTTCGTGCACTGTTGGTTGGGCTGGTGTCTCCTCAACAGAAGTCTCCTCAGCAGGTGTTTCGTCAACAGCTGGTTGCTCTGTGTTGACGCTCTCCTCGACTGCGGGTGGTTCGTGCACTGTTGGTTGGGCTGGTGTCTCCTCAACAATGACGGCCTCTTCGGAAGCTGCGGTTGCTTCGTCGACAGGAGCGTCTGCCTCAACAGGCTTTGCTTCGTCTGTAACCTCTGGCGCAGGCTCCGCTGGTGCAGCATCTTCCGCTTGGATAATCTCTGGCTCAGGGGTCGGCTCGCTTGGTGATTCGGGTTCGTCAGGGGGAGCCTCTGATGTTTCGGCAGGTACCTCTGCTGGTGCAGGAACTTCACTTTTCACTGTTGAATCAGCCGCCGGCTCGTCCACTGGAACAGATGTCTCCTCGGCTGCTGGTGTTGTCTCAGCTTCAACAACAGCTTCTGGAGCGCTGACATCTTCTACAACGGGTGCTGGCTCATCTTGCGATGGCTCCTCAGCATCTGCTGGTGTGTCTGATGTCGGCGGTTCGCTCTCAACAGGAGCCTCTGTCGAGACAGGCGCCTCTTCCTCGCTAGGAGGACCATCCTTAGCGGTCTCTTCTTGAACCTCCGCGTTATCTTCGCTAACAGCAACCTCGCTTGGCTCGGGAGCTACTTCGCTAACGGCGACCTCACTGGGCTCGGGAGCTGCTTCGCTTGGTGGTACCGACTCGCTCGCGACCGATTCGGGGGTAACCTCCGCGGGGTCTTCGACGATTACGCTTTCGGAGACATCTGATCTTGCGCCTTCCTCCCCAGAGCTCGCCTTTTCCTCGCCTGTGGTGCCTTCAGTCTTGCTCTTTGACTTCTTGTCCCCCTTGCTGATCTTCGGCTTCTCGATAGATGATACTGAGAGTGAAGAGCTCCTTCGCTCCTTCTTCTTGATGATGCTGATGGGAGTCGTGACCTTCTTCTTCTCCTCCTTTGGGGGCGGGGGCGCTGACTGAGAAGTCGCAGATGACTTCTTGACACGTACAAAAGCGTTGGCCTTACCCTTTCCGAAGGCATACTGTAGCTTTTTTTTGCCAAGAGTTGAGGCTTCTGGGTCTTTGGTGTCAGAGGCAAAATGGACAAACTTCTCGGTTGGAGACTTCGGGGGCTCTTGAGCGGCCTGCTCGGACTCACCACTCTTCTCACTCTCATCAACTACGGGCTCAGGTACCGTTTCTACTGGCGGTTCCGGTGGCGGCGGTGGTACAGACTCAGCAGGCGGTGCCGGGAGACTTGGTTCGGGCTCAACAGGGGCATCATCTGCCGGTGCTGGGGGAGGGGGAGGGGGAGGAGGCAGTGAAGCGCTGTCGTCCGGTCCTGGAGGTTCGTCTTTGATGTCATTGGCTATGACTTCAACGGCTACTACGTCATCTCCGCTACTTGGAGGAGCCTCTACTTCTTGCTCTGGAGTGGCTTCTTGAGGGGCTACTTCTTCGGCAGAACTTGTTGAGGGCTCTTCTGCTGGCGTGGATTCCTCTGAAGGGGATACTTCTTGTGGAGGGGTTGATTCTGCTGGCATATCCGAAACCGGTGCTGACTCTGAAGGCTCGGCTGCAATTGGGGCACTGGCAGATTCTACAATGGTCAATTGAACATGCTATGCAGAACATATATCAAGCATACCTGCTTGGCCGCCATCGCCCCCTTCATCGGCTACCTGTACAACTTCCGAGTGGGAAACTGTTGGAGGCCGCCGAAGCAGAGGCTGGTACGGCTGCGGCTGCGGTGCAGTCACCGGGGCATAGGGGCTCCTCCTGGTGCTGGGCGCTGTATTGCCGCTGTATGGATTCGCCCATGGCGATATGGAGACATTTTGGAATTGACGCATTGCGAGCAAGCAAACTCAATGTCTTGTTTCGAGGTGGAAAGATTGAATAAGTTGTGCTACATGCTATATCTGACGTTCTCTTCGCTCCATTGCGGGTGACAACAAAAGGCCGTAGGCAATGGCGACATAAAACGTGGGGTTCAAAGACTGAATGCTGAGAGACGAGCAAGAGACCAGTTAGATGAGAGGCAGCCCAGATAGTGGGTGTGCCATGTGCGTGGCTTCTAATGGGTCAAAGCTGAGACGGAACACTGAGATCAGACGAAGGGGAGTTGCAGGACAGCTGTCACAAGACGTGATGCGAGAAATGGTAAGAAGTTGCGTCGCGCAATGTGCGCAATAGTTCGGTAAGCCTCGAGTTGGCATATTCCGTGTAATCGCGCGGGCTCAGGTTGGGAAAGCGACCTTGGCCTGTGCGTCTCATTGGACCACGTAGGGAAACATAGTTCGTCCAAAGCGAGCGCATTCGAGTCCCGGGAGTTGGGCTCTTCGGCTTACAGAGCAATTTTGGTAATTGGCTCGATGGCGGGTTCTAGTTGCAGAAGGTGTCGCCAACGCGGAGCCTGGTGCAGCAATGGTGGTATTCTCCAACGGCCGGATTGGCGACCACCGGAAGGCTTGTGCGCGCGGGGAATGCGGTAAACGAGCAATTAGCAGAGTGAGCCCGTCTGAATTCTATCTCGATGCCCGAAGAGGGTCCGCAATGCAGGGGGACGCATCGGGGCATCATGGCTCAGAAGAAGACCGTCAAGTGTTGTGAGGTTGAGTGACGTGGCCGTGGCCTAGGTACCGGCGAGCTGCGCAACTAATCCTCACTAAGCGACTCATGAATTGGCGACCCGACCCGACCTTTCTCTGTGTTTCTTTTTGTCCCACCATCCATGCGACGTGGGACAACGAGAGAGAAGGCATGACCCCACCCCAACCTCCCTGTGCCCAGTACAGCGAAGCAGCATATGGTCGATTGGCATCCGGTATCATTTCACTTGGCTCTTGTTCCAGATCGCCATGATGCGACATTCTTTTTCGCCTCGCCGCACCTATTCCCCGAAGTATCTGGCCAGTCACCGGAATGCGGCATTATACAGCGGTTATCGAGCATGGCGAAAATCAAAGAGAAGGGTGAAGGCATGTTGATTACATGTACCAATCCATTGGGCGAATCTCGCTTTCGTACGTGTTCGCAGCTCAGTGCTCCGAGTCCCAATCAATGTAGATTACGACTGGCATGACCGCGGTCCGCGGGGTGAAGGTGCATACATGATGTAGTCATCTCTGCAGCTTCTAGTTAACCTTAGATTGGCTGATGTAAGTGCTGATAAGTCACGTGATCTCTCGGCACGCCTACCCTCGCATCAACCTTCCACCATTCTGTTAATGTTCTTCAATCGGATATGAAATTGAACGGGTATATTGCTTTATCGCTGTTTCCGTGAGGTCGTTAATTGCCCCTCTGGTTTGGCTAATGCTTATTCGTGCGCTTATGGCGAAATATGCATACATACTGCAGTTCAAATGGATCGCTACATGGGCCTTGATGACGCCTGTGCCGCAGACTTTGCAAACGATTATGCGGGTATTCGTTTCTGGAAGAGCCTGCTTGAGGTAGCCAATCCCCAAAGTTCAGTTCCAGACCCATGGCGCAGCGGGATAGCAATCGATCCACATTCTGGTACGCATGCCTGCTTCTATTTATGGGTCTGAGTTCTCTCGCACATAAACGTAAACGTAAACTCACTCAAGGACAAAGTATGAGTCCCGCGTGGCTTAATTGACGTGGCCATATCTCTTTCGTGGAGACTCTAGGTGGACCAAGGTGCTTCTTACCAGACATGTCTTCGTGATAACGATGATCACGTGATGTCAGATCAATGTCGTATAGGACGGCAAACTCTCCCTACCACCTGGGTAACGCAAAATACTTGACAATATGAGTAGGCACCTAGTAGGTGTATTCGACGCCTATAGTGAAATTTATACACTAGTATGTCAAGTTTTATGTCACCCGAGCCCTACCCTACTATCTGGCGAACAGATGTGGCGGATGTGAGAAGCAAGTAATTACCCCTAGATAACACATCAGGGCTCATGAATTTTATACGATAGATATTGCTAGACGACGCTACATATTCTTGACCTGGTGCATCTTTCATGCCAGTCAGGGGTAAAAACCATGTAATCATTTTCATCAACACGCTGAGAGCATCGCTACACACCAAGCATCGCCATCGGTGACGAAGAAGCTCATGGGTCTAGCCAGTTATTCGCCGCTTGCATGGGCTAACAGATGCGAGCATCTGCTGAGAGCTGACCCTTGCTCAGATGCCATATTGGTTGGCGGGAACGAGTGGCAAACCCCTCAGCTACTGGTGATTTAGTGTGGTCTGATATGTACGAATTGCATTAAAGTGACTCCAATTGACCTGCAACACGTCTTCACTGACGCTCTGTCCGTATTTCGACCAATCAAGGAAGATAGCAGCGGTGGTTTTGCCATGCACTACAACGCGACATCCTAGGATTGGAATGATGGGCGAGTTACTGACCTCCTTACTCGATATAAAGTTTACTGGTGGCTGATCAAATGGCAGACAGTCAGCACGAAGAGTTCAGCTTAGAGACAAACTGCCTATGTGGGCTTGTAGATTCTAATGTCCGTTGTTCTTCGTCCGCATGACCTTCGTTGTGGGTTGTCGCCTTAGCGGGTGGAGAGTATTATTGGATAGATCACAATCGTCCAGAAGACCTGAAAGTAAGTAGAGTAGCGGGCATGATGAGTCATCTAGTAGTACAGTGTTGTTGTTAATATTGATGGGAAGTTGGATAGCGAGTTAACTCATAGCTGCGAAGAGGGCGGACTCTTTACAACAGTAAAGATTGTCAGGACCCCGCCCAAGATGGGCCGGGTCGGACCAAGATGGGCTGGGATGAGTCATCATCAGGTATTCAGTATGAGAATACGCTACCAGAGCTCGGTAGCGATTCGTCTAGCCTTAGCAGACACAATACTATGCTATTAACGAAGAAAATTGTCCATCTAGTGCTTTCACCAATCATTGAATCTGACAAAGATCTCGTGCAGAGCGGTCCCTCCTGCTAGAAAAAATGGTCAACATGTTAAAGATATAGGTTTTGCCGCAAGGTAGCTAGGCGGTAGAAGTATATAAGCATCCAGTATGCATAATTTCCGAAGCATTTGAAGGTAAATCCAAGAAGCCTGGTTTAGAGGATCTACATATATGGTCAGACTCAGTACGATATTCAAAGATCCGCCCAGTGAGGGACAGATTTGTTGCCTTTTTTACCAGAGTTTCTTGTCATGCTCTATTGATCCTCTCATCAGTTGAACACTTGTAGCAGGATTTCCAAAAGAAACTCAAACGATTGGCCAAGCAAGTACTGGTAGACTCGCCACCGCACGCGGGCAATATCTTTAAAGCACGGGCAAGCAGGCTAGCTTGTTGCGGCTGTAAAAGGCCCTAGATCTGGTTCGGACATTTTATGAACTGGCACTGCGAAACGTTGTTGAGATAGTAACATGTGCTGCCATACTTGTCAACGAGCGAGCCGGCTCGCTCAGCTCGCTCGGCTTGGACGTTTTGACCAAGCCGAATGAGCTGAGCGCGCAGTGCGCGCTTGCAAGCCGAGCGAGCTTAGGGATAGGCGCTCGCTCAGTCAGCTTGCTTAGCTTGGTTGGATGGGGCGGTTGGAAACTTGGGGCTGAAGGACTTGGTGGAGGGGCAATCTCACGATGATTTTTAGGTGTAGTGCGTAAGTTCGAAACCTAGTTATAACCTAAAATACACTCTTTTTTGCTATATTTCTAGCAAATAAGCTACTAAATTTCCGGCTAACGGCCTGGCAACAATATTCTCCTTCTGCGACACTTCACTTACTACTTATCACCCACCACACTCACCTATACTCCATCAACGCGTCTCTATTTGCAGCTATTATCTACCTCGCCGTTGCTATAATGCCAGCAAAAAGAACACGCGTTAATGCTCTAGAAATCGCGACAACTTCGAAGCGCCCTAGAGTCGCAGCGCGTCATCGCGGGACTGCCAGCCAACCTGTGCTAGTAGATACTCGGCCATTCTCACCATCTCCACCTCCTCCACCGCTGTCGCCGCGTCAAGCTCTCGTCGCCGCGCCACAAGCACCAAATTTTGAAGCGACCCTCCGAGAGTCGCGCGCCGAAGAGACAATCATCCCACCACCTGAGGGCAGCGAGCATGCCACTGTTGCAGCTTCAGGAGCAGCTAGCGAGGCTGTCGACGAGGGTTTCGTATGGGTAGAGGACAAATACGACGGCTTTAATTGGAGTCGCTACCCAAAGCACTGCAAGCCGCCCACATCACTTTCGAACCGAGCAAGCTGGGTATACAGCCATGGCTATCGCATCGCCTTGCGCAGCAACGTCGCAAAAGTCACGTGGATCTGCCACTATTGCTATAAGCACAAGTTCACTACTGTTGGCCGTGGCATACATGACGTCTCGCAGTCTCCATCAGCGCCAGCACGTCATCTCGGAGAAGACAAGAAAGGTCATGGCTTGAAGCCTCCAAGTAAGCGCACTACCGTCGCTCCTCGGAAAGAAACTCTCCTCGAACGCGCCCTTCAGAAGGGCTGCTCTCAGGCTGTTGCCAACGAGCTTACCAACTTCAATATACAAGAGTTTAGGCTTGCGGCCGTCACCTGGCTCGTCGAAAACAACCTCCCACTCTCACAATTCGAATCATCGTCTTTTCGCAATATGATACAATTAGCTAGCGTAGAGGCAGAACGAGCCCTGTGGGCATCTCATAACAGCGTCTCACGATACGTTATACGCCTGTACAACTACCTGTTACCAAAGGTTGTCGCAAGCCTTTCAGAATCAATGAGCAAAGTCCATATAAGCTTTGACGGATGGACGACAAAAGGTGGCAAGCGCGGTTACTTAGGTATCGTCGCCCACTACGTTGATAGCTCTGGCGAGCTCAGGGACTTGCCTATTGCGCTCCCACAACTGACAGGTGCCCACACCGGCGAGGCCATGGCTGAGGTCGTGATGGCAATATTCAAGCAGTTCGAAATCACTGTGGGCAAGCTCGGTTACTTCGTCCTCGACAACGCACATAACAACAACACCACGATCAACACTCTCGCCTTGCAGATGGGCTTCAGCGCTACCGAGCGTCGCCTTCGCTGCGGTCCTCATACGCTTAATCTCATTGGCCAGATGCTACTCTGGGGTGAGGAGAAAGAGTCCTACGACAACGAGGAGACTGAGCGCGTGAACGAAGCTGAGAACATGGCTACTTGGCGAGGCGATGGACCATTAGGAGTGCTTCTCGCGGTTATCAACTACATCAAAACACCACAACAGTACGCTCTTTTTGAGAAGTATCAGAAGCTCGCTATTAGGGACCAGCCTGTCAACGCGCCAACAGAACAGCACAAAATCAAGGAGCCCGTCAAGCCAGTTGTTACTCGCTGGAACTCTTACGTTTCGTGTTTTGAGCGCGCTGTTGAGTTGCAATTAGCGGTTAATGGGTACGCCAACTACCATATTCAGAAGATTGAAACTGAAGACGCGTACGCCCGAAGTCGTAACAACAAGCTGCCTGCAGCGCCGGATTGGATGAGGTCTGATGGGATCAATGCCCATGACTGGCAGGTGATTGCTGAGTATATTGATGTGCTCAGGCCACTGAAACAAGCTACAAAACGGCTTGAAGGCCGCGGCAAAAGCGGTGCTTTTGGAGCAATCGCTGAGGTTATTCCAGTATTTGAATACTTACTTGGAGTCTATGAGGACCGCTTGCAAGCTATGAAGACGTCATTCACGATGAGCATACAGAGTCACCCGAAGACCACCTTGCTATCAACCTCCGCGCTGCCCTAGTTAAAGCCCGCGAGTACTACAACAAGCTCGACCTCTCGCCAGCTTACTATGCTGCTACAATCCTTCATCCTCGCTACAAAAGCTACCTTGACGCAGCGTGGGCGGATAAGCCTGATTGGCTAGAGAGCAGCAACCGCAAGTTTCAACATTTGTGGGCGGAGTACAAAAGCTTACCGAAGCCGCGCTTACGCCCCAAAGTCAGGCACAATGATATAGACGACGCTATCAACAGCTTTATTGAGCCTGCAGGGCTTACGGAGAACGAGGAGGATGAATATGAGGCTTGGAAACGCAGCGAACCGATCGCTAGCGAGGGCGTCGACCCTATAAAATACTGGGTAGGACTCCGCGATCGCTACCCCAGCCTTAGCAAATTTGCTATCGACATGCTATCAATCCCAGGCTCAAGCTGTGAGTGTGAGCGCTTATTCAGCGAGCTGGGTGACCTCCTCGAGCCCCGTCGGCGCAGCATTTCTCCGCAACTTCTAGCAGCAATACAGTGCGATCGACGATGGATAAGAGCTGGATTTGGCAGTGGTGAGGTGCCTGTAAAGGAGGCTATCAGCGATGAGGAGATGGACGCGAAATACGGTGTACATAAGTGGGATATTAGCTGAGAAACTCAACACCAAGGTTTCTATATAACTTTCCTAATCGGGACTGAGCCCATCAAGCCGAGCGAGCTGACAGCCCTGTTTCAGCCAATCCGAGCGAGCCGAGCGAGCTGCTGGCCTCCGCTCAATTGGCTGAGCAAGCCAATTGGCTGAGCTCGCTCAGCTTGCTCATTGACATCTGTGTGTGCTGCTTGCTTCAGCGGGGCCAACACGCTGGAGACCCATCCAATATCTGCTTTCGAAGGTAGATTTGGCAAGTTTGCCTCTACCTCAATCACTCTCTTTGTCGAATCCTGGTGGTCTGGCCGCTTGGTGCTTACTTCAGCGCAATACGTAAGTATAATTGCTATGGGGCTTAGGACTATCACTGTCGATCGCGATATTAGCTAGCGCTAACCCGCAACATCAAAATTTCCTACGGTCTGCTAGGTACGCAAGTCTTGTTCGTAGAGTATGGGCACATGTTATACTTAGACACTCCTTTCTTCAATGCGCTGTTAGATCCCGTTTGGTTAAGAGCAGCAATTGCATCCAAAGGCGATTAGAGAGAGTCTCTCGATGCAGACCTAGGCGGAAGCGTCGGAATAATTTGAGAAGAGCAGATACATAGGCTAAAAAGAATATCCAAAGATCAATTTGATTGTTCAAGTTTCACTTCCCACGCACAAAGCAGACAGACTGGCAAACGCTGAATTATTTCCACAACTAAATTACTCCACGTAAACTTAGCTAACCCCTTATCTTCTCATTAGCAACCGCAGGTGTCAGTGGCGCCCATGCGCACGCATCGAGCTGGTCCGCCACCGCATCCACGTGGAAAGTCCCGGGCGCAGTCGGGACACTTTGTATAGGACGTTAGCTCTAGCAGGAGTGGTAGGGGGCTAGTAAAGGATCCTTTTGACGTACTTGGGCGAGGGCGCCCGGCATAGAGACGGTGAGTGCGAGAAGCACAGCGATGGTCTTAAAGCTGAGCATAGCTGCAGATGTCGTCGGAGATGTTTTCGATTATTTTTATATATTTTAAGAAGAGGTTCGTTGAAGTCTTGGAGTATTCCAAGAGCTATTTTTGGAGTAAAGAGGTTTATGGGTTATGATACCAAATTCTGGGGGTACGGTACTGTTTTAAAGACCGGTTGGCAGATCTACAGATCTTCTACCTCGGCCTACTGGGCAGCCGGATTACAGCTGCACGTCGGATGAAGCGGTCTGCCCGGATGTTGTAATGATTCGTCACTAGGGTCCTCCTTCTCCCAATACAGAAAGTGTGGCGAGAAGGACGGCGAGAGTCATAATATTAAGCACAGCGCTAATTTGCTTCAATACCTAATGTCTGTGATGGCTCTATAGGGACACGAGATCGACAAGGTCTTGGGGCTGTCGTGAAAATAAGGTTGGGAAGTCTTCTTTATAGTTATCCATCGGTGAGTTGAACAAAGCGTAGCTGACCGGTTAGGTTCTAGGGGGTCGTACTCAGCATTTCCAAGGGTGCATCACCTGTAAGCCCAAGTCAATGTGGCCCAAGTTCCTTAACAGTCAGCATAGATACCTTCGGTGTTGATATGGCGAACTCTAGACGGAGTTCCTGATACAGTTAGATCTTGTACAGAGTTCCTGAAACTTTCACTTCAACAACGCAATCTTCCACGATTTTCTTGTAATGTCACGTTACTTTCATGCATGACCAACTGGAACATGAAATTTCGTGATACTTAGTTGTAATCGTTGTATCTATCTAATACAAAAAGAATTTCATGCAAATTGACTGCGCCATGTTCTGCACTCTGAAATCTCTTGCACACATGATGGCTTTTGGAGACAGAACAGACCCACCATTCACGTGACACAGCATGGAGAAATACATCCTCTTAGCTGCTAATCACCCAGAAGAGAAGTAGAGGGAAAAGTCAACATCGAGTGCGAAAACCATGCCGTCGGATTTCTGCGCTCCCTTGATGGCTGTTTGGCGCCTTGGACCTTCTCTCACTTGCAAGGCTGGCTGCCATCGCTCCTTCCTCAACAGCGCTCATGACGCACTCTCGCGTCCACAAGACCCACATGTTTCCTTTCAAAAGCCTCAGTTTGTGTCCCCTCCATCTTTCACCTCGCAATACCACATTTCCTTCTTTGAGGTCAACCCTCAAGCTACGGGTGGGTACTGTCACTCTAAGCTTCCACTACCATCACCACCCTCACCACCCTGCCCAGAAACATGACCGACTCGAAGGCGCCAACCCAAGAAGGCGCACAGTTGGCCAAACCAGATATGTAAACACCTGTTCAGATCTGTCGCTCCCATTCCTGGGTTACCCTTCCCGATTTCTCCATAAGCTATCCGCATGCCTGCACTCAATATTCGACTAACACGACCTCACTAGCTGACTGGGCTCTACACGTCGTAGTAGCACCTGAAGTTCTTATCACCCAGCGATGCGACAGTCTTGACCTACTATTCAACCGATGGAGGCTGTATCGACGTGCTCAATGTGCTCAACATGTACGAAGCACATGACGAGTACGAATGGCCTACTGTCACCGGCTACGATTTTGCGCAGGCCATGCGAATTCGCCGTGCGCTAGTCAATGATGTCTTCGTTGCGCTGGAGAAGACAGGTAGGGTCAAGCTTGTGGGTGAGCAGGCGCAGAGTGTGCCGAATACACTGCAGAGCAGCGGAAAGAAGGTTGATGACACTGGTGAGTATCTTGAAATCATTTGGCCTTGGTTGCGGTGCTAAAAATATGAACAGCTGGTGGAAGCAATGCTGGACGCAAACGCAAACGCAAGAATGAAGACAGGGATTACGAAAGTGATGAATTCCTCAGCAAGACGATGCGTGAACTACTCATTATGCTGAAGGGTCCCATCTCAGTATACACCAAACAAATAAGCACCACTTGTGGAGTCAAGCCTGAAGTTCAGCTGGCCGATATCGTTCATGATACCTTGGTATATGATTTGGATGATTTGGATAATTGGGATGATTACTAGTGACAAACTGTCAGAACTGAGTCAAAGAGGAAGTCTGGACTATGAGATAGGAACAAGAAGCTGATAAACAGAATGTCCAGCGCACAAAGACCAACATGGGCGGTCTGATGGACTGAGTGCGGGTGTCATACATAGGAATATCCAATAGGGCTACAACGTACAAGGGGGGATATAGCATCTCAAGAGAGAAGGCACGGAAGAGTTAAGTATCATGGATAGACCGACTACTCGGCAAAATTACAATCATGTCTAGCACTTCAACGCGCACATGGATCTCGTTATTCATACTATCGTGAGTCATGCTGCCGAACACAGTCACAACAATATCCAGTCGACAGCAACCAACCACTTCTCCCCTCGTACATCAACATCCCAAGTCGGCACTCTCACCCCCAGCAAACTCCCTATCTTGACAAGCACACCCCCAGAGCCTCTCACACCTCCTTGACCAGCCACCAGGATGAATACCTCCTCGTCTGCATCCGAATTGCTCGATGCAGTATACATAGCATGCTGTACACACCCCCTTGCAAAAACAACACCACCGGCATAACATCCCACCACACCATCATCATCTCCACCCCCCTTCGTCCCCTTCCCCGCTAACCCCGTAATCCGAACTCTAATCTTAACACCATCGTCCCTATCCCGTCCCCACAGCACACTACCGCCCCTATCCTGTGTCGCAAACGCCATATTCGCCGTTTCCACAATCCAACCCGCAGCCGTCGAGGCCATACCGCCGGGTATGTACTTTGCTGTTTTGCGAGAAGGGGAGAAAATGTCTGGAGGGGGTTTGACTGGTTTGGGTGGGGAGGTGGGAAGCGCGGGGAGGATGAAGTGGGGGCGCGATGCAGATGTAGATGGAGGTACGGGTGCTGTCGCTGCTACTGTTGCTATACTGGGGAAGGGCGCGGGTGTGCGGGGTGGCGGTACTTTGAAGCGATGGGTTGTTGGTGCGGGTGTTTGGGGGTCCGATGGGGATTGTAGTTGTGGTGGGCTTGGTGGTGATGTGCGGCGGCGCTTGGTGCGTGCGGCAGTGTCGAAGAGCATTTCATCGTCATCATCGTCGTTGTTGTTATTGTTGGGTTCGTGTTCCTGTGATCCTTCTATGCTTTCTACGCGCTCAAACTTCCTTGGTGGCTTCGGCCGCGGGGTCGTGTGTTGGAGTTGGAGTTCCCGCGCCGCTTCGTGCTTCTCCTTGCTCGGTCCATGGTCTGTCGCAGCGGTTATCTTGTGTTGCGCAGGCGCGATGACGAAGCGTTTCGCAGGTGTCAACTTCTTGAATTGCAGCTCTGGTTTTTGCGCCGGTTTCTTCGCGAGCGGGGGCGTTTGTATGGCGAACGTATTGCGTAGATTGGATTGTGGCTTCTTCGACTTTTGTGCCGAGGGCGGATTGGGGGTTAAGAAGCGGTGTGGTGAGGGTGTGTGTGTTGGCATAGTGGGAACGACATGGGGAGATTCAGGGGCTTTAGTTTGCGGGCGCAATGTGTTATCGGTGAAAGCATCGTGGGTGGTGGCAAGGCAGCCGCGTCGTGCCGAAAACGCGGGGACGCGCTGTCACGGGGTTGGGCCCACTCAAACAAGCAATACATACTCATGTCAAAACTGCGAATACGAGACTACAGATTTTACTTGGGAGACGGATCTTGTCGCAACCGAGCTTCCATGGCAGTCAGACGACGCTTACTGACCTTGGTCATGTGCCCGTCGATGAAATCCAGACTTAAGTTATGTATCAATGCGGGATTGCTTACTGCCCGCTGATGATGCAATCTCAGAGCACGTAAATACAAGGATCAGCGCGCGTACCCGACGAATCGGTGTTTTGGCAAAAGTCCAACATTTGGCAGGCCGGCGAGTCCAGCCATCTTTCAGACGCGTGCGGCAGGCTTGGACAGTGCCATCGGGTGGTTCGATCGCCGTGCGGGAGATCAACGGTATCCTGGCTGCGACGTGCTCTGGCGTGCTGGTTCCCCTAACAACATCGGCGACATACATGACAGCAGCCGTCATGAGCGTCAGTAGGCGTCAGTCAGGGTGAGGTATGGCGGCATAATCTGGTCGAGGCTGGGCACGCCTATCTTGATGGTGGGGGCGTGCGGAACGGAGTGAGGGCAGACTTGGGGCCTTGCAGGTGTGGCGCAGTGTGATATCGCAACTAGGACGGCCAAGCAAGATTGCGATGCCGCATACGTACCACGGCCGCAGGCGGCCTGACAGAAATGTACATATAATGATATACTATGCAGGTAACCCGTCAGATCCGGGTCAGGATGCATCAGCTCATAACGGCAAGTAGGGCGCACAATGGACGGGAAATGGACGGTAAACAAGCCAGCCACAGCTTCTCGCATATGCCGAAACAAGGCCCATCGATAGCGCGGAGGTGTTCGCAGGAACAATTGGGCTAAGGACAAGCTGAGACAGGCAGCTGCAAGGTACGGCCCCTACGGATATAAGATGATGTGACGGGGGACATGGTGGGCGACTGATTGGCGATTGGCAATTGGCGCGGGGGGGGACGAGGAGCGAGGCTGGGGACCAGCCACAAGATGCGCAACTCGAGGATAGAACAACACGGCCGCGCTGCCCTAAGCCAACCTACATGACTCTCGACGAGGCCAGACGTCTGCTTCTGCACCGTCGCTCCCTTGCCTTTGCTTTTGCTGCCACTGCCACGTAGCCGTCGTCATCGTCGTCTCTCGTTTTGTTGTCGTTTTCTGTCTGTCTATGCCCACCATCCACGTTAGCCTACGCTGCATACGCGGCTTCGTACAAGAGTCGGCCCATAGCCACTCGCGCCTTCGCTCCTTCCCCCGACTGAGTACTCCGACGGCAGGCGCCATTCACTCACCATGTCGACCAAATCCGTCACCATGTCCAACTTTGGCGGCGCCCACGCTGCCGGCATCTTCTCCGACATGACGGTCGATGGGCCTATAATCGGCACCCTGGTCGTCATCATGGACCGCGCGAGGAATTTGCCCAACAAGCGGACCATGGGCAAACAGGACCCTTATTGTGCTGCACGCCTGGGCAAGGAAGCAAAAAAGACGAGGACGGATAAGCGCGGAGGGCAGACGCCCAAGTGGTGAGTATGCGCTCGAGTAGAAAACCAAAGATACGGTGCTGACATATGCAGGGACCAGGAATTGCGCTTCACAGTCCACGACTCGCCTGACTACAACCGCCTCAAGGTGTCCGTCTTCAACGACGACAAGAAGACGGAGCTGATTGGCGAGGCCTATGCGAACCTGCAGTCCGTCATTACACCCGGCGGAGGACAGAGCGATGAGTGGCTCGGCCTGAATTGCAAGGGCAAGTACGCGGGCGAAATCCGCATGGAGATGACCTACTACGACACCCGCCCCAAGACGGAGAAGCAGGTATCTGACAGGAAGAGGGAATCGGCCAAAGCAGAAACATATGGACATGGACATGGACACGGCGTAGTAGGGGGGGCGCGAGAGATGGCGCCCATCAAGCGACGACCGCTGCCCAACGATCCCACAGGCGCTTCGCCGTCGCCCGTCCACACGCCAGAGCACCGGGGACTGCGCGGTCTGCGAGCTGGCCCACGAGAGCTGGGCTCGCCGCGACACCATCAGTCGCCCAGCGAGCAGTCGCCAGGCCACAGAAGCCAGTCGGATACGCCTACCCGCAGGCCTGTGGCCGCAGGTTCGCCATTGAACTCGACGCCTCCCCAGCGCCCAGCGCCGCAATCTTCATACAGCACGCCGCCAAACCCGCGCCCGTCGAACCAGAGAATGCCACTACCGAGAGAAGAGAGCTTTGACATGTCATATGCAGCGCCGAAACCATATGAGGTGAAGCCAATAGACCCTCTGCCTCAGCACATCCGCCATGCAGAGCCAAGAAGAACATCTCAAGAGGATGACCGCTCGCCCCGTGCTCATCCGCAGCAGCACCCGGCTGAGCCTGTCCACTCGCACTCTGCTCCAATCGTCCCAACACAGCACAGCTATGAGGCTTCGGCCCACCAGCAGCAGCTACAGCAGCAACAACTGCAGATCCAGTATCTGCAACAACAACTGTTGCAGCAACAGCAGGTCGAGCCGCAAAGGATTGAACCAGCTCGGCAGGCTCCGGCTTCATACGGTCAGGAACAGTACCAGGACCCTTCCTACCAGGTTGCGCCTCTGCGCACCTCTCGAAGCCGCGAGTACAGCGACGAGCAGGTGTCGCCCATGAACCCTTACTATGGGCAGCTGAGGTTCATTGAGGCGCCTCCTACACACGAGGAGGGCTCCTTGCACCGAAGACGCAGTGCGATGCAGCCAATGGTCGAAGACGAGGATGATATGCCACCACCGCCGCCAACGCATAAGCGCAACGCGAGCACTGTGCCTCATCGCCGCCATGAAAGCCCCGAGCAGTACCACAATGAAGCTCCTGAACCACTCAGTTTCTCATCCCGGTCTCGGGAGCAGTCGCGTCGTCTCAGTTACGACACTGCGCCCCAAAATTACGAGTCCAACGACTACGCACCACGACAACCCGGGGAGCGGCGATACACGCATCCTCGTATGCCAGCCCAACAATCAAGTCGCCCAACATCCCGTCAGGACATGATGGTGCCCTCTCCACTGCGACAGGAGACCTTGCGCCAGGAACCGCCGGCATTGCCATCTAGTCTCATTGCTGGCCTTAATCCTGCCAGACAAGAGATTGAAGCGGTGCCGTATGAGGCGCCTCCAACATACGAGACTCCTCCACGGCTGCGTCACTACTCTGAGCCAGCAGAATACCGGGCCATCACCCAGTACGAAACGCCTGTGCAGTCTCAAGAACTGGTCCATCATTCGGCCTACCAAAACAACGATTACTACCCGCATGACCCACCGGAGCAGCCCCGCCAGAGATCGCCTCCGGCATATGATACCGCTGCTATCGTCAAGCCACGCGCTACAAGCCCCGGTGTTAACCCACGCTACACTCCTAACCCACCCATGGATCGTTACTCTCCAAACCTTGATATCGATCGCTACTCGCCGAATCCGGTCACTGAGCGCTCGTCTAGGATGCCTGCGCGAAGCATGCCGACTCGCAAGTCTGTCTCACCCCGACCACCACCTCCTGCGGAGGACTTTGGTGAGCGAAGACTATCTGGTGTTGCTTTCAACCCAGACAGCTTCGACGTGTACAACCCGAGAGTATCCAAGTCGCCCATTCCTTCGGATGATGAGCCGGAGCGACCAGGCAGTCGCATGGAGTACAACGACAAAGGCCAGATTGTCACCTTCAGCGGCCGCGTCGTTGATGCCTCTGACCATCTTCCCGTCGACAACTGGGCCCCTGAGCCAGTGCCGAAAGGCACTGTGAAGGAGAAATCTTCTCGGTCCCGACCACAGCTAAACGGCAGTCGAGACCTCGAAGCTGCCATGCAACGCGAGGAGCGTTACCAACGGGAGCGCGCGGAGCGAGAGCGCATCCGCCATGCGACAAGCATGAACTTTGACAACAGCAGCGCGCTCGTAACGACAAGACATGACTTTAACGACACTGTGAATGCCGGCGCACTTGTCCTAGCAAGCCATCATCACGCCGACCCCTCCAACTCTATCGGTCGCAACAGGCGAGACCAACAGCAGCGCCCAGTATCCTCATATGACACCCCACCCCAGTACCAGATGCCGGACAGGCAAGTTCTCCGTGAGCGAGAAAACCCCAACAGCTATGGCAGTAGCCCTGGCTATGACCGACGCGGCACGCAGAGACACAGCGTCGCGGGCCCCCCTCCCATTCCAGCCAAAGTACCTCTCGATATGGGCGGTGGCTACGGCGTTCAGAATGAAGACATGGCACTTAGCCTTGAGCTCCAAAGCATCGACATTGGTCCTGGGTCTGGGACACGCAGGCCACGAACTACGGCTCGACGACAGTATGGATACTAATGGTGCCATGAAAGATGTCATGTCTTTTTGCTTATGCGGATTTACGCCTTTCTGATGGTGTGTGTGTGTTTTTTTGTGTACGATAACAATGGTTTGATGTCATTTTTTTGGTAAGTTTTAGAACCGGTGGTTGGTTGGTGCGTTCTTGTGGTGGTGGTAGTGTTTCCTAGGAAACCAACCCCCTTTCTTCTTTCTCTCTCTTTTAGTAATTGCTCGATGTACTGTGCGATTCCAACGAGGGTTTGAGAGCCAGAACATGTCCGAGTCTTTTTTTTTCTTCATTCCTTTGATGCGCTTCGAATACACCTACCTAACCTGCTTTTATGGCTGTGTTTTTCTTTGTCGGGCTTAGAAGCAATAGCTTGCATAGATATCCAACACTCATGGGCGTGTGTCCACCCTTTTTTTTCTTGCGATTATCTCTTCTCTTCTCTTTGCTCCTGAGTGAAGTAGTTATTGAGGATAGTAATTTATACATGATCACCACTTCTGCTCCTCTTCCCGTTTGAGTACTTGTGCAAGTTGTGTGATGTATTATTCTAACCAAATGGACGGGAATGCTAGACGGGCAAACACAATAGTCTGATACTCGATTATTACGCTCGTCTGACGAGACGGCTGGTTAGGAAGATTATATGCTGGGGGTATATACTGAAAACATCATGCAAGAACTTGTACCTCCCTCCTCACCTTCATCAACCTCACTCCAGGACCACCCTTCCCCCTCTCCTCCCCTCTCCTCTCATCTGCCCCTCCTCATCAAATACACGTTACATTACATTACCCATACTCCATGCCCATATTTCTCATTCGTACAAATCTCTATCCTTGGGATCGTTCTTGGGTGGCGGTGGGACGACAGACGAAGACGGAGGTGTCTCTCTTGATATATCCACGACTGGAGAAGCGTTTATGCGGATGGGTGGTATCTGTGGTGCGTTTTGTGCGGTGGGTTGAGGTTGAGCTGGATGAGGCGGTGGTGTCGGTTGTGTAGGTGCGGTATTTTGGTGAGGATGGATAGGCTGTGGCGTCTGCGGCGATATAGGCGATATGTTGCTCATCTGCTGTTGCTGCGGATTAGATACGGGGTATTGCGACACCACACCCACATCCTTGCTCACACCACCATAGTACCCAGCTTGCTGCTGCGACACCCACCCCCCATTCGGCTGCGGCGGCCCATAATAGTAAACCTGTCCCGGCACCGCAACCCCCGCCCCATTCCCAGCCGTCTGTGCCATGGCCGGATGCAACGGCTGCCCCGGCTCCACAATCCCAACCGTCGTCTTACAAAACTGACCCAGCAACTCCTCTGGATACCTAAATCGAAACCCCCACCTCCACCACGCCCTCAGCTTCGCCCCTTTCCCCATAGCCACCCACTTCTCCTTCAAAAGCTTCTGGTCCTGCTCACTCCGCCGATCCTGCATACGCGTGAAACACAGTACCAGGAGCGAAAGGGCGATCCAGCAGATTGTCCCGCAGCGCATGGCGCTCTTGCCGCACATGAGGCGGCGGAACCAGAAGAAGGATTCTAAGAAGCCGAGGAGGAAGAGAAGTGGGAGAACGGTGGCGATGACGATGATGGTGGTGCGTAGGGAGGTATGACAGTAGAAGAACGAATAACAGTCATCATAATCAGAGCTGCTTGAGCCTGACCGCGAAGACCCAGTACGGTAGGGCGCATGCGGCGTACTGCAGCTAGTGATGTAATCACTGTAATCGGGATCCGTGCTGGAAGTGAACGGTGCGGCGTTGGCGCTGAGATACCAAGTTTCATACATATAAACCGTTTGGCCGTATGTAATGTGAGACGTAGATTTCTCAACAGATGTCGGCGTTACTTGCGCTGTTACTTTCGAGGGTACGTCTACCGAGGCGGTGGTTGTTATGGTGAAGATTGTGGGGCAGGAGGATGGTGCTGTCATTGTTACGGGCATGCTGAAGAAGATACTGGTGGATGTTTCCAGTGTTGTTGATGCTGTGGCTGTGGCGTCGGATTCGTCAGTCGTTGCGGGCACGATGTCTGTTGCTGCTACGGCGTTTGTGGTGTAGTACGCTTCTACGATTTGCAGGTTGCGGTAGTACGCTTCTGAGGAGGTGTACATGGAATATGGGGTCAAGGTTGGTGTGACGCCATCTTTGATGGTGCCGACTGTCGTCCAGGTATCTATGGTTACGCTACCGTCGTAGTATGTGTATGCGCTTTCGGTGACTTGGTCGACGAAACGCGCAGTGTATGTCCAGAATGCGGATGTGGATGTGGAAGCGGTCCTCCGAGAAGTGGGGGTGTAGTAGTCGTCATCAGTGAGTGATTGAGCAGCGCTCGTGGAAACGATGGTAGCGATGATAGCCACGAGGGCGTAGCAAGAAACCATCGTGGGCGCGTCGTGCAGCGCAAATGGGAAAAACGATCGTGGGTCGCGTAAACAGGATGTATTAGATATTAAGAATCCCGTACGTAGTAGGTAGGGTTGGGTATTCTTCAAGAAAAAGCATCAGGGTAACACAATCATCTTAAACTACTCAACACAGGCTAGCCTCATCGGTTTAGTGCAAAACAGAGTGTGCACGCAGAGTCATATCGTTTCCCTCCCGTCGCTTAGGAATGGCAGCCTTGCGCTGTCCCCTCAGGGTCCAATCAAAACACCGTCGTAAAGTTAGTCAAATTTTCCGGCAAGGGTCTAGACGTTTTGTTTTAGCGATATTGGCATCGTTGCTATCTTTGGCCTTGTTGCGGCTCCTGTGGTGGGTGCTAGGGCGGATGCAGGGGGGTTGTGATGGGTGGCCTGAGGATGGAAAGGGCTTGCACTGCCTGGATGGGTTTATTGGAAAATTGATGACGATGGGGATGCGTGATGTGTAGATTATTGCTGGATGTCAGTGATGTTACAATGCAGATGCAAAAGGGTTGCTAGATGGGATCGAAGGGTGTGTTGAAGTGGAAAATTGGTTTTGGTGGTGTTCGTGCAGTGACGGACCCCAACTTGTGCGATGGCTTGGCAAAATGTCATTCGAGGTATCTGAGCTTTACTAAATTATGAATTATTCCACTGTTCGGTATAGCCGGTTTCCGGATAGGTTTAATAATATGACTATTTTCTTTTGTGCTTGGCATTGGATGGAGTCTCGAGTAACTAGGGGAAGTAGTCAATCATGTCATGTACCTTGCTACTGTCACTACGTTCATGTAATAATCAAAGAGCAAAGCTGGAAAAAGAGAAAATTTGTATACCCAGAAGAAGGTTGAAAAAGCAAGCATGTATGACTAGCTACACGAACATAGGCTTGAGATGTTCGAGATCATACCTTTTCATATGCACACAGAGCACTTGGCCCGCAATGAGTAGTTCTTCGTCATATGATTTCGAAAACATTAATATCTGTATTGATTATAACATTTATTTGCTAGTCGACGTGGTTATGCTAGTTCTGGCAGGCGCTGCGCGATGATTATGCTAGTCTCCAACTGGGTAAAGCGTAACTATCTTTACCCCACACCCTGCAGTCAGCTTGTCAGCTCCTGCAAGCTTCCTGTCACATACACTCTACATCGTCAAAACCTCCAGAATTTCATGAACTGTATCGAAAGCCAATCATGGGGTCCAAGTCTCCGGAAGATCATCGTCAAGGACCCGATGGTACGTGCAGTCAAGAGTTCACTGTGCCATGACAGCTGTCCTAACGAGTCATACAGGGGGTTCAGCAGATGCCGCGGTCACTATCATCAACCCTCCAAAGTCAGCCGCTGCAAGTGGCCTGCTTCAGGGCATGCTCGAGGGGCAAGATGAAGACGGAGACGACGACGATGATGAGAAGACTGGAATTAACGTGAAGACTTACGATGGTGAGCATACTTTACATATCGCGACCTAGCAGCTAACACTGAGAAGGTGCAAAGAAAAAGAGAAAGCGCAACAAGAAGAAAAGCAAGAAGGTGGCAGTGATACAGCAAACGTTTCCCCCAAGGATTCCGTTGGCTACTTTGTTCGACAATCAGCCATATCCAGAAGGTCAGATCGTGGACCACGTCGTCAAGGATGACAATATCAAACGCACTACGACCGAAGAACTTCGCCATGTAGCCGCCCTGAACGACATGGACGATGACTTCCTCAAGGACTACCGTAAAGCCGCCGAGGTCCATCGCCAAGTTCGTCATCATGCACAGACGATCGCGAAGCCCGGTGTATCCATGACTCGGCTTGCGGAAGAGATTGATGAAGGTGTAAGAGCACTCACTGGGCATACGGGTCTCGAGACAGGCGATGCGCTCAAGGCAGGTCTCGCTTTTCCCACGGGACTTTGCCTGAACCACGTAGGCGCCCACTGGACGCCTAATGCTGGAGCAAAGGAAGTCATTCTAAAGCACGATGATGTCCTCAAAGTAGACTTCGGAGTTCATGTCAATGGCAGAATAGTTGATAGTGCTTTCACTGTAGCTGCAAATCCGGTTTACGATAACTTGCTTGCAGCCGTCAAGGCGGCTACTAATACCGGGCTTGGCGTAAGACAAATCTTGAATATATGGTCCGGCACTAACCTATCCTTCTAGGAAGCTGGCATTGATGCCCGTATCGACCACATTAGCGAGGCGATCCAGGAAGTCATGGAGAGCTATGAGGTCGAGCTAAACGGCAAAACCATCCCGGTCAAAGCAGTCCGCAACATCACCGGTCATAACATCCTGCGTTATCGCATTCATGGAGATAAGCAAGTTCCATTCGTCAAGACCAAGACCGATCAACGTATGGAAGAGGGTGACATCTTCGCCATTGAGACCTTTGGCAGCACGGGAAAAGCACACCTCCGAGACGACGTTGGTGTCTACGGCTATGGACGCAATGAAAACATGAGTCCAGCTGTTCTTCATCAATCGTCCGCCAAGTCGCTACTGAAGACGATTGACGCAAACTTTGGCACTCTGGTGTTTGCCCGGCGTCAACTTGAGCGTCTCCCTGGCGTGGAGAAATATCATCTCGGTATGAGAACGTTGGTTAATAGTGGTCTTGTCGAATCGTATGCACCGCTGGTGGATATTACCGGCTCGTACATTGCGCAGTTTGAGCATGTAAGTGTTGGATCTTGGGCGATGTATGGATAACGTGCTGATTCTCATTTCCAACAGACGGTGCTGCTCCGCCCGAACTGCAAGGAGATCATCTCAAGAGGCGATGACTACTAAGGGGATGAGACTGCCAGAATAAAGCGTACCCGACTTCAACAGTCGTGTAGCGAAGATTCCAAAGGTGCTTCAACATGCCTTTTCATACCCGACTATCACACATTCTTTTGAACAACTATTCTCGTGGAATCTGATGACTTGTTTATTAATGTAGGAATGAATGATTTACGCTAAGCTCAATGCGATAGACGAATACGACACTGAATGATGGAAACAACTCATGCACAAGCAACAAATGAAAGTCTAACCGAACACCAGCGCCCTGACTTCGATACTCTCCCTCCCCACAGCCCCCTCTGGAGTCCTGGGGTCAGTAAAAGCGGTATGCGGCACGCGTCCCCATTGTCCAAAGTTCTCATCGCTGTCGAAACACTTGAGCAAAAGTCTGTCCTCATTTTTCATGCCTGACCAATAGTACCACTTCTGCTCTGGGTTGTATGCCACAGCCGCCGTCTGTCCATTCCTATCAGGGTACCGGTGTTCGATCGGCACAAGATCACCATCGCGCACCGTCTGACTATCCGCGACTGCGAGCGAGTTACCCATTACGGGACCATTGAGCGGGCGCCAGACATTAACGATGCGGTAGCGGCCTCGAAGGAGTTTCTCGGCCTCTTCGGGAAGGTGGAATCTAACGCGTTGGGCTGCGGAGAAGGGCGTTTGGTCGATATGGACGCGCTGCACGGCATTGCGGTTACCCGTGGGTCGGCGAATAGTGTGATCGAATAGTAACACCCGTTGCGCGCCTTGGACATTCTTCAAGAGCAGATCTTCCACTTCTGGGTAATAAACCCGCTTTATCGCCTCGTCATCTTCGAAATCGGCCCTGTCCAAGCCGCTTTTGATATTCTGGAATGTATCAAAGGCGTTCTTGTCTAGAGTGAACTTTTGCTCTTGACCCCGAAGGTCTTCCAGTCTGACTTCTTGCCAGTCATCGCCCCAGTTTCGCTGTGGGACGCCCGGAAGTGGCTCTACGTAGTTGTGTGGCGGTGCGCCATCTTCTGGGGCTTTGTAGAAGGAAAGCGGTGCAGTGACGGGGCCGCGTGGGATGGGCAGGCCTTGGTAGTTTACATCGCGGTTGGCCGTTGCGTTTGGAGAAGATGTTGGAGCGGAGAGTTGGTGTGCGGGTGTCGGAAGCGATGCGGTGGTCATCATGGCTCAAGGTTAACAGATCGGATGGATGAAAATGATAATGCTAAGTTGAGGAAGCAGTGCTTGCAGTGTCAATAGTTGTAAAGATGAGTTGATTGAGTATGAGCCTGATGAAGCGCAACAACAATGATTTATATATGCCCATGCGATTAGAAATGCTTTACAGTTGTTAAACGTCAAGTCGCCTTGACACTGCCGATGCTTCCCCTCATTCGGCAACATGGTGGCGATGATGCCATACCTCTATTTCCGAGGCTGCGTTACTAATACCCATACTCCAATGAGCTTCTACAGGCTGACAAACGAAGCGAATTGCGTGATGAATTCCAAAGGCTCGTAATGTGAAAATGTTGCAGGAGTTTTCGCGAACGTGGTTTGTAAGAATTCGCGCGCTTTTCCAACATCATTGCTGAGAGATGATGCGGAGATAAGGAGACAGTCTGGAGATGCTTCGGAGATGGGCGTGCCAGCATACGTCATGAGCGACTATCCGAGGCTGAACAGGGGCGGCTCCAACATCACCGTTGGATGCATCTTAAGTCGAATATTCCGTTCAGCAGGACGAAGGCCGCCATTGTCGTCTTTGACTGCTTCCGAAAATACCTAATCTCTAGTTCCTGATCGAATGATTTGCGAACGCGATTCGATTGATCATCGACACGTTTGCCCCTGCTCGCCTTCACCGAACCTGCCGTCGACCTTTACAGCGCGCTGCCAAGTTAGCATTGCATCTTCAAGGACGCTTAGAAGACCCCTTTAACGCAGCCCGCAGTTGCGAAAGTTCACATAAAAACCATGAACACCCCGAAGCGAGTCGTTCTTCGTTTCCATGTCCAACACGAGCTCGAAGAAGCCGCTATAAACGAGCGATATTTTGCGCTCTATGACCATGCTGATTACAAGAACGACTTCTTCTCCCATCTAATGGCCCCCAATGAGCCCTATAAGATGCATATTGTCTTGGATCTCAACTGCAAAGCACACCCAGTTATGGCAATGAGTACATAGAGGGGAGAGACAAGCCTCGGCTAAGGCGGCCGTACTTCGGCTAGATTATTCTTGGTAGACAATACTTTTGAAAGGCACCTCCGTAGGTTGATCCGTATTTGACAGAAGGTGAAACTAAACTACGCTTCAGTGTATTCGAGAAGCTTAATAGCGCCGCATGCGATCTTGCTCGTGCACGTTGCACAAGGGTCAGGTGGGGGGCCGATCGATCGTAATTCTGAACGATGGGTGTAGTCCGTGCACGACGGGAAGGACCAGGCCCGACTACTTTCGTATCGAGTATCAAGGGGCTGAGGTAAGTACCTGACTGACTACCTAAAGCTACACAAAGCTGTTGTTTAAGGTGCAATCCTGCTGCTGAGCATGGATGATAGGCGCCCCTCACACTGTGTTGAAGGAAATAGCGACATCTCGCGCAGTTTGTGATATGTATCGTACATGGCAAGTATCCAGGCATAGTCAGATTGAGCAACACCGAAAGATCGCGGGATGCTCATTAAAAATGCGGGTACTGACGTATCTATAGCCGTTCTCCACCCAGCCGCACACTTTCAAGCCACATGTCTAGCTTGGCGGAGTACTTATGCACTGTCTCAACGTCATCATGTTCGCATATAAACTATGACATCGTTATTTCGACCTCAAGTAACATAAAGGGGGGCAACCAATACAATCACATTGCAACCATGCTCCGACTCTTCTCGCGAACGCTTCCAACAACGGCCAAATCAATCTTACCAGCACTCTTACGAACAAATCGATTCGTCTCTAGGACTTCATACCAAATCGTCAGAAGTATGGGCAACGGAAAGGCTAGCAACGAGGACCTGAAGGGCTCCAAGCTCTTCGATGTTTCCCACGTCACAGCTCTTGTCACCGGTGGAGGTACCGGTATTGGTCTGATGATCACACAAGCGCTGGTTGCAAACGGCGCAAAGGTGTACATTACATCAAGACGCGAGGAGGTCTTGAAGAAGACTGAAGAGCTCTACAACGGCGGCCCAGGCCAAATCATTCCCCTCGTAGCAGATGTTAGGTAAGTCAAGCCCATGTGCAACACCATGAGCCGAATGCTGATAACCATCAGCGAAAAGGACGACGTAAAGCGTCTCTACGACGACATGTGCCAAAAAGAGCCCAAGGGAATCCAAATCCTCGTCAACAATGCTGGTATCGCGCGCGACGACAACACCAAGTTTTCCACAAATGGCCAGCCCAACATGGAAAACCCACAAGCCATTTCCGACCACTTCCTCAAGTCGGAGCCTATGCAGTGGGCTGACACCATGAAGACCAACGTCGGAAGCATCTACTGGATGTCCATGACCTTCTTACCGCTTCTGGCTAAGGGCGGTAATGTGACTCCAGGATACAGCTCCCAGGTCATCAACGTGAGCAGCATCTCTGGCTACATGAAGGGTAGCAGCAACGGACAGTTTGCGTATGCTTCAAGCAAAGCGGCGGCGACGCACTTGAGTCGTATGTTGGCGACTACCTTTACCAGCACCAAGGTTCGCGTCAACACCATTGCTCCTGGTGTCTTCCCTAGTGAGGTGCGTACTGTTGCTTTATTTGATCTCCATCGTACCGCGTGAAGAGACGTCGAGCTGACTAAATCAGATGACTACTGGTGGTTCCGACGAAGACAACAAGAGCCGCATCGAGTCGGGCATGTCTAACCCTGCCGGTCGGCCTGGAGCCGACACCGACATGGCTGCAACAGTGCTTATGCTGGCTGGACCAGGTGGCGTCTTCTACAACGAGCAGGTCTTGTATCCAGATGGTGGAAGCACGCTTTCGCAGCCTGCAGCGCGGGCTTGAGCGTAGTACCCAGCGAGCAGCCTCACGGGTATCATTATCCATGATTAAGTAGCAAGAAAAATATAATAATACCGAAATACACAAGATTATTAATCCGATTTTCCAGTCGCATGCAAGTTTGTGTCGAAATCCTTACCATGAGACTTCAACATCACGTCCCCTGCCCCACTTGGCCGAACCCCTCCGAACACCCCCACCGCAAAATCTCTTCCACGCTACACGACCACCCTATCCAAACCTGATAACCCCGAACCAGCCCAAAAAAATCATCGCGCAACTGACATGCAATTATCAACAATGGATAACTAGTTTAATAATACGCAAACATCCATCAAATCAAACAAGACGGCCTAATGGCCCAATGGCAAGGCGCTTGACTACGATTACCGTCGAAATCAAGAGATTCCAGGTTGTAAGTTTCACCACTTGATGAATCGGTCCTTCGAATCAGTTTACTAACATTGTATAGCGACCCCTGGTTAGGTCAATAAGTTATTTTTTTGCTCTTTTTTTTGTGCTGGGGAGGGTGAGGGTAGGTGAGGTGGGATGGAAGGAAGGAAGGGGATGGATTGATATCTCCCGACTTTACCTTCTTGTCCTCTGCTCATCTTGTACTTTGAGCAAAAGGGGTTTTATCGTTGTTTGAACAGTATAGAGTGAAATTTTTCGTAAGTATAGGATTTGTTGAGAATATTCCGGTCACCTGTCACGAGGACGCTAAGTCACATGACCCACACCGCTCTATATTAGCCGAGCTTTGTATAGTTAGCAATTGACACACTTACATGCCATGACTGAGAGAGTCATTCTTTCTCAACAGGTTATGAGCCCGGCTTACGCGCTTGCGTGTGCATTGTGAGTGTCCGGAGTGTCGTTTCTTCGATATGGGCAGCAAGCTGGTATATGCGTGTCTACGCCAGAACAACCCAGGAGGTCGTCGCCTTCTATATTCTAAGACACTGGGTCGTCGCCCTGGCTGCCGCGAAGGGTATTAAGTCCTGAAGACACTGGGCCGTCGCCCTGGCTACCGCGAAGGGTATTAAGTCCGAAGAAAAATGGACTATCGTCCGGAGAAGCTGGGAGCGTCTCGAAGATACCTTGGGCGAGTTATACCCAATTCCGACGCGCGAGTCGAAGAGAGCAATGGTTGCTCTATCCCTTTTCAACCAACCTTTTGACAACGATTCGAATACCTACCTACCGACGGTAACCATCGATTCTTCCGAAAACAACTCGAATTGCCTGCCTATCGATAGTAACCTTTCGAGACCTTCTTTTTAAACTAGTAGCTACAGTTCGACAGCTACTTTCAATTCCTTAAACTCGAAAACCTACCGTTTGACGGTGCTCGAAGTTTTTTTACTCTCTCGAACGCTACCCACCTACCCCCACCCGATTTCTCGATCGATTTTTATCTTCTTTCCAAAGGATTTCGTTAAATAAACGCAAAGAAGCAAAGGCTTATATAACGATGGGGGAGAATAAGGGTGTTAGGGTCTGGAGCCCTGAATAGGACACAGACAAGGAGGCAGGAGCGGAGGAACGGAGCGGGGACAACAAGAGAGGAGAGCGTACATAGCTAGAGTACTGGGAGTACTAAGCTAGGGGAGCGCTAGGATAGAGGAGAGCGTACACAGCTAGAGTACTGGGAGTACCAAGCTGAGGGAGCGCTGACTCTCACGTAGGAGTCGAGGGAGAGTCGGTATGTTGGTGATATCGATTCTACCTTGATTTTCAAACGCGAAAATTCTCTCGACCTTCTTTCTCGACCTTCTTTCTCGACCTTCTTTCTCGACCTTCTTTCTCGACCTTCTTTCTCGACCTTCTCTCTCGACCTTCTTTCTCGACCTTCTTTCCTCAACTCTTCACTCGGCCGATACCTCACTTTACTTGAGGGACTCGCAACGTAACGGCCACTATAGGGTGACAGGGAGGTTTCATTCTTGTTGACAAGGCACTTCTGGGGGAGTGTTGGAAAGTGCATGCAAGGCGTTCAGTGGAAGCATATAAAGGGAGAAGAAGCTTCGACTGCAAGACCTATACAAAGTAGTGGGTACAGCTGATCGGCTTATGGGGGAGTGTTGAGAATATTCCGGTCACCTGTCACGAGGACGCTAAGTCACATGACCCACACCGCTCTATATTAGCCGAGCTTTGTATAGTTAGCAATTGACACACTTACATGCCATGACTGAGAGAGTCATTCTTTCTCAACAGGATTGCTATTATTGAGAGTGTTTGTAACTTGTGTAGCTTTAGAGCGATATGTCATTCCTTAGATGATAACACTCTTCTCGTGTTAAGAATAACTACGACCAGAGATGTGGTTGATTTGCTTTTCCCCACTTACGATCATGTTTCCGCTTTCTGCTCACATCGTCGTCTGACATATCTACGTAGTATTCAACTTGCCCTAATCAGGTGGTTCCACGATGTCCATGTACAACCGACCAATACCATGGTAGTGCAAGATACAACCCTCTTTGGAACTTTGGAACCATCTAATATGACCCGACTTGCACCGCCAAAGTCTCGCCTTGAATTAGATATGCCGTCGACTCGGCGCCTGCCACCCCCATCTAGGCTTTAGACACGAGACGTTACATGTATATACAGGACTTGTCATCTTATGCCCGATCCCGTGTTGAAATAAACGTCGCGATGAGCACACCAATGGATTCATGGGCGAGGCAGTAACAAGCTGGAATGGAACGATTACCTGGCGTTAGACGAACGTCAGATGAAACAAGACGAACAGTCATCTCGTAATACAACATCATATCTTCATGTCTATACCATATTCTAACCCATTTCTAACCAACATCTAATAAACCTCACCAAAGCCCTTTCTCTCCGCATCCTGCATCCTATCAATCTCCGTCTCACCAATCTTCTTCTCGGCATCAGCATCATCGCTCACATCCCTGTCTTCGCTCTTCTCAACAACCATGTTGCCTTTGAGCGCTTCTTGTAAAATGGGCTCTCCTTCCTTTTCTTTCGCAAAGGCAGCATCGTCGCTGGTTGCATCGCCGTCACCGAGGCGATCGGTCTTTGCGCCATTTCCCATGCCTGATTCTTCGATCCAACCCTGCTCGGCTTGTTTTCGCTGCAGCTTGCGGTCCTTTGAATGTTTGCGTTGGGTTGAGCTTGCGCGGAGGAACTTGCGGTGGTTGGTGTTGTGGTGGAGGTGTTGCATACCCGGGAAGTAGTCGGAATCGTCGGAGAAGCCCTCACCAGCAATGCTGTGGGGCGGTTGTAGATGACGCAACACGGCAGCCGTTCTTGGCTGGGCGTGGTTATTCGACCGGGTCACGGAGGTGGTTGCTTGGTCTTCCTCGCTACTTGTGGCGTCATTGGAGGCGTCATTCGGTGATGCTGGGGTCGGTGGCATTGCTGGAATGGGGTTGCCCTTGGTACTCTGCTTGCGCGACAGCTTCGCGGGCGAGGGTTCGTTGATGATGGGAGCGTGGTCAGCCTCTTGGGATGCAACGGGATGATCTTCCTGTTCGCTGCCTAGTGTTTCCATGTGAGCGACAGCGGGTGGAGGTAACTGCTGGTTGCTTCCAAGGTACTCCATTGTGTTCTTGCGCATCGGACGGCGGGGGTAGTTTATCTTGTCGTGGTTGCAACCATTCACACAGCCTCCCCAACGACGTATGGGAATGGTGGGCGAGGAAGTGGCTCCTGTTTGACCTCCAGCACTCAGTGGTGTTTGTCTGCTCGGCGTGGTCGTGGTAGCACTCTTAGTGTCTTCCTTTTCCTTTGCAGCGCGTTTCCTCAGTTCTGACCACGTCCGAAGCTCGTTCTGCAGGATGTATCGGCCGTTGTTCTCGCTCCGCTTCATGATGATGAATTCGCAGTGGTTGACGTTGCGGAGATCTTCAAAGTACTCGACAGACCAGTGGTACCTTTGAGGTATTAGTATGTCTGCGCTGGGATACAGACGACAAAAGACTCACCATTTCATGAGGAACACCCTCGACATCAGGCCATGAGTAACCAAGACGCACACACTCGGGAAGTTGTCGTCGCCAAAGGATCGCCACAAGCTCTCATTGAAGCCACTCACTCGATCGTAGGCATCTGCTGCACTCTCGCCGTCGGGTATGCGGTAAAAGAAGTGACCATAGTCTGCTCGCTCCTGCCACATGCGCTCCATCTCTGCCGAGCATGGCTGGAAGTTGCCAAAGTCCTGTTCTCGCAGTCGCGGCTCTTCAAACACGGTAATCTTATTGCGGGGAAAGGGAGACGGCGTGGGGTCGTCGGCGGTGAGTGTGCGCAAGATGCCCTCGGTCGTCTCGCGTGTGCGACGGTATGGCGAGGTGAAGAACTGGAGGGTATCGTCTGGCTTGAGTAAAGAGCGCAACTGTCGTCCTGCCTCTTCGGCCTGGGTCCAGCCATGTTGAGTGAGCTTTACCCGATGGTCTGGTATGAACTGGTGAATGTCGCGGTTCTTGTTGCCCTCTGACTGCGCATGGCGAATCAATATGATCATCTACATGGTCGTCAGTCATTGTCATGTGCGATAGGCCCAAAGTGGACCTACGCGGGGTTTCCCCATGTTGAGATGCGATGTCAGGATATGGTAGGAACGGGAGCTTTGTGTCTATATATTTTTTGCTGCAGTTGAGGAATATTGACAAATCCGAGGCAGAAGCGAAGGACATACGTATGGCAGCGAAACTGCCTTTTCACCGCGTTTCAAGTGTAGCTGCAAGCCCAACCATGGCTAGGGAGTGGCAGTTCTAGCCCTAGCATCAGGTCGGCTCTGCGGGCACTTGCTAGCGCGTCATCTCCGCCCCTGCGCCCGAATCTTCTTCTACCGGTACCTAAGTATGTACCTACTTTGTATATGCGACACTCACTTTTTCAGACTTACCCAACCACGTGATTCCAAGGTTCGCATTCTCGTGTGGAGTTAGACTAATTCTCCGACATCCATCCCATCACCTGACTGCTTGCTACTGCGCGACTCAACCCAACTCTGCGGCGCGCCTCAACCCACTTTCGCGACCGAGTCTGCACCGCACAACATCCGCACCACAATGTCGGAACCCATTCCCGAATCCATACCTACCTCTGCAGACCCACGCTCCAGGCGACCAACCAAGAAGCGAGCCCTCACCCCGCAGTCAGCGCAAGCCTCACAGGTTGAAGCCCTTTTCGCAAAACCCGACCGCGACATCCACATACCCAGCACTGGCGCACTCTCCAAGAACAGTTCTCTCCCTCCAGAGATTGTCGCAAATGTCCAAGGATCCAGCGCAGGTGCGGGAAGCGGCGAATTCCATGTCTACAAAGCAAGTCGGCGGCGCGAGTATGAGAGGCTGAGGCTCATGGACGAGGAGGTGCAAAAGGAAGAGGACGCCAAGCAGTTTGCAAAGCACAAGGAAGAGCTGGAGAAGAAGGACAAGGAGAAGACTGAGAAGAATCGGCTAAAGCGAGAGAAGGCGCGACTGAGGAAGGAAAGGGCCAAAAAGGGAGGGAAGCGTGAAGCGGGGAGTGAGACGGATGGGACGCCTGCGGCCGAGGAAGAGACGACGAAGAAGAAGCTTACGCCCAACTCAAATGCGCCAAAGACGGGCCAAGACGGAGACGCGCAGCACGACGCGAACGACCAAGGCGGACAGGTCCAGAACGTGGACGAGATTGGGCTGATCATCGAAGACGATGACTGAACCATGGCTGAACACATGTTGCCATTGGCCAAGGATATATTCAGTAATGCTAATACTACTAAGCTTCATCAAGAGCTGATGAGCATCTCCCCACAAACATCTGCCGCTTTCAAAACGTACCATCATGTCTAATACTCTGCTCACCGTCAGCAATAACGCTGCCCAACGAAACCTTGCGCTGCGTCCTGAATTCATCTCACCCGATACATTCACGTCATGAAGGACCGAGAATGAACCAAACTGACAAAACCTTCCTTTGCAATTTCACGCTGACTTTGCTATGTTACCTTGGGAGTCGCGCCTTCCTCCCGGTTATGCTTGGCAGATCTGGCAAAATTGCTTGGCAACGTCGTCACCGTCCACGCATCCGCACACATCCTCGATCCGCCATCTGTTGCCGCCTCATTCCGCGTCCAGAAACAGCCAACCACCTGAGTGTCATGAAATACTCGACAGCCTGGGTAAGCACTTAATCGGCGTGTTTCGTGACTACAGTCGTCTCTTTGTACACTAGTTAGTATGTCACTCGGCCGTGCGTCAAGAAATGGCCAACTCTGTCAAGATCAGCGAAGCAAAACCGTCTAGATCTTCGGGAGAATTACGCAGGTGCGCCTTGGCAAAGTACGCGGCTTGGTGTCTATTGACCACTCCGCTCAACCACAACCTTCACGATGCCGCATCTCACCGGCTCAGCTTGGACTTGCACACGCACACGTGCGCCTGCATACAGTCAAATAAGCTCAACACCGTCGGCCTTGTAACCATTCTTGACTGCTGCCCAGCTACTGTACAATCGCCACATGTCGGTAGTACGTACGCAGAAGAATGTTGCCGTCCTTGGCCCCGGTGGTCCGTCTGCACCCCGCGGCTTCCTGTTGAATGTCGAGATACTCTGGTTTCGGCCTTTGCTACCAACATGGCTTGTTGAACATACTGATATTCGCCCGCCTTGTTTCCAAGTGGAGACTACATTATGCTCTTACAACGCCTTCTACGTATCTTCTCGTTTCGCCACCTATGACGACGGTACTGAGTGTGGAATGTGCCGTTAGAACCAAGGTACCACCTTGGGCTCCCGTGTTTCATGTACAATACATGTTCCCCGCGCAAAAGTCCCTCTAAGCATCCTTGCCATATGTGCTTTAATAAGTCTAGTACCGGATTCCTGGGGCGCCGACTGAACACCGTGCTTGTATATGCTTCTTGGGCCCTACGTCGTCCTACTTTGGGTTTGCATTGATCATTGGGTATCGGCGTTATTTTGCGACGACATGTGCCGCTCACGCCATTTTACTTTGAAATTCATCGTCAGTGGCCGCAGGCCGCAAACTCTCCCCATCTACAATCATTGGGTATAGTTCGTTTCAGCCGAGCCCGTCACAGTGAACGTCAAAGTTCTTGGTACCTCTACCACGTCAGCGGCTAAGCCCGGGCAGATGAATTGTATACCATCTAGACCTTGTGAAACGACAGACGATTGCGTTGCGGCTTGTCACAGGTGAGATTGAGCTTCATCAGCACGGCCTTGATCTCGGTCATATTCCAGGAAGAGGTAACATACTGACGTCGATGGCTGCCGAGTCGCAACGTACTTGTAATATTCGAGGCTTGACTTCATGGGAGGAACAAGTATAAGACAAGGTCGTGTCCGGACTGTAAATCCACATCAGCATCGACAAGCTTCACTCACATCTTCTACGGAACAATCAACCTCTTTCACCAACTCCAATCCTCTTCCATCATGAGGTTCACTCTTATTGCCTTTATGGCTGCCACGTAAGCGCTTTATAGGAAGCCTATGAGAAAATGACTAACATCAGATAGTGCCATGGCAGGCCCCATGATTTCACGTCAGGCACCTGCTCCTCGTCCTGAACCTGTTCCTGCTCCTGTTCCTCGTCCTGAACCTGTTCCCCGTCCTGAACCTGTTCCTCGTCCTGAACCTGTTCCTCGTCCCGACCCCAACACTGATCCTCGTCCTGGTCCCGATCCTGGTCCTCGTCCTGGTAAGGGCGGCAAAGGCAAAGGAAAGACTGGAGGCCCACCACCACCTCCTCCAAACGGCGAAACTCCACCACCACCACCACCTCGTCCAGAGGGCGAACCTCGTCCAGTACCTCGTCCAGAGGGCGAACCTCGTCCAGTACCTCGGCCAGAGGGCGAACCTCGTCCAGTACCTCGGCCAGAGGGCGAACCTCGTCCAGTACCTCGGCCAGAGGGCGAACCTCGCCCAGTACCTCGGCCAGAGGGCGAACCTCGCCCAGTACCTCGGCCAGAGGGCGAACCTCGCCCAGTACCTCGTCCAGAGGGCGAACCTCGTCCACTACCACCTCGTCAAAGAAAGTGAACCAGGAAATTCACAAGGCGACAGCATTCAATGGTCACTTGGCGCAAAGAATGATCATTCCAACCAACCGTTTGTCGCTTTTCTGAGTCGGTTCATGCACAGTTAACTTGTCACACGAGCACCATGTACGCTATAAGATGAAGAAATTTGCAATCTAGATAGTCGCTGTTTAGGGGGCGGTGGAATTGTCTTTGATCTATTATATATAATGAGGCGTCGTGTCTTTTATACGGTTCATAGTCGGGAATACAAAGCAGACTTTGAAATACGATTTGTTCTGTGCCTTTACAACATGATTTTATTGTTTGGACTATGGTATCGTTGACCGGATTAAGATGAAGCCCAAAACCACGGCTTTTCTAAACAAAGGCCAAACGATGACAGGACATGACTTTGGTATAACTTACACAAAACACATCTATTTAAACCTCAACATGTTGCAAATGACCGTGTCCTTTATCTGTGAAACCGTACCCGGTGCAGAGTCCGCAACAATCAAGCGATAGGCAGATTGATTACCTGATTAGGTCTGTCACGGACCAGATAGTGATCTTTCGAGGCCTAATCCGGTAATCAATCTGCCTATCGCTTGATTGTTGCGGACTCTGACCCGGTGTGCTTCTTCGTAATCCTTTAATTTAACAGTGCCTCCAATGACGCACTTTAGAAATTTGAAAAACTCATGTCGTTATAATGAGTATGTTGAGAGACTGATTCATCGTTATCCCGCATGCGATGATCCGAAACGATCATAGTGTTAACAGTGCCCTACTATGGAAATTATTCTCCTAAGCTCTGCCGTATCCAGCGTCCTAAAAAAAACAGCTCTACTACGCTCTGCCATGTCCAGCGATGCATTGACAGCTCTCCTACGCTCTGTCATGCCGACCACATCGTATCCATACCCTATAATACACCCTCCATGTCAGTCTCGGGCTCCTCGAGCTCCTTCTTCTGGAAACGCGAATGCATCAGCCAAACCATGTCTGCCGGAGAAGTCATTCCAAATCGCCTCTAGCTCGGCCGTCAGCATATGATACTAGGCCTCACTGTCGATAAGGAGATTACATGTTGACGTTAGAACTGAGTAAGTAGGTACATGCGGTACTTTTGCATACAGTATGTTGGACTTTGAGCGCCGGGTAAAGCCGCGAGTGTTGCCAATGCGTCAGAGTGTTATTCAGTGATCGGTGTAGATACAGAGCCTCGGCGTGCTAGACATTGGACAATTCAAGTTTTTGCAAGTCATTGTGAGGCTGTGGTCGCTCTAGACCAATTATGGGTGGTTGGTGGGCGTAAAAGTAGGTACAGCGGGGAAATTTCTGTTGCCTGCTAATCTATGAGGCCGAAGACTGTGGTAAGCTTAGCGGTATCGACGAAGATATTGGAAACATGCAAGTCATCATTCCAAAGGAGCGCTGACGAGATGTTGCGATCTGCATGTACAGTAGTGAGAATTTTGTCAGGTCGACGTAGCAGTGCACTGCGCCGAGTTTCATGCTCTTAAATAGACTCAGTAGTATTTCCCCCAGCCTGCATGCTCACTTTGAGATCAGTTCGGGCTGGAAATAGACTCAGAAGTCATCGCTCTTGGCATGTGGGTTTCTGGGCCCCACAGGGTCCCCTTGTCTTTGTCAGTTGGGAAAACCACGTCCCCCAAAGCGGACTCACACGGTCCTCTACCAACAGCCGATCGCTGCTTCCCCACTGTCACACATCTGTCACTCATCTGTCACTCATCTGTCAGACATGTCATGTTCAGTTGACGGTCCGACGGCGAAACGTCGTGTGTAATATGACTGCTATTTGTGCCGATGTAGCTCGTGAGCGTCTGGTCAATGGGCGTGTTCTCCTGATCTTTCAAGAAATTCAGATTTCTATATTCAGTGAAAGATTTTGACGTCTAGGCTTCTTGGAAAGCAGCACTGGATTCGAAAATAGCTAACTACTCTTGTATGTTCATGCTCGGCCAGGGCCGTTCCAGCTCGATTCCCGGGACTTCCTCCAGTTCCGCAGCGACCGGATTCTCATCGGCCCTGGAGCCCCAGGTCAGAACTTCGGGAACAGGGATCTCAACGGCGTTTCGGGCCTGAAAACTGTCACGAATACGGAAGCATAAGGTTTACAGGTGAGTACAACATACATGGCCGTAAACTCGCTCGCTGTGGTCCGACTAGGTAGACGGGCATTTTGGTTGGGAAGGAACTCTGGCGACGACTCGGGAGCCATAATTGATGGTCGACATGATGCTCTTATTGCGAATGCGATCCTGATACTTTGAAAACCTGACGCATGCTTTCGCACCAACAGTATCCGTCGTGCAGTGAGCAAGCTCGTTGACATTGAAGCGCATATGGCACACCGACATTTGGCGCCCTTCTTCACAACCAGATCGACCCCAAGTATAATCAAACAAATCTTGGTCGTACTCAAGGTCTAGATGGGTCTTCAAAACGACCCATGCCTCTGTCATCGGATACATCTACCGGGAAGCATTGCGCGTGAATCATGTTGGACATGGGCGCGCTGGGTGATCAAAGAACGGGCGGCCACATTGCTTCCAGATCCGTACGTGGCTGAGCAAAGACATACCTCCCTTCTTTCTCACATCATCTTCAAGTCCCATACATGCGTATGTGGCCGAAAGCGACAGTGTGCTGACTTCTGGACGTACCCATTCCGGAAAGATCGACGTTCCCAAGCCCAATTTGCCGAGTAACTTAACTAACGTAACTGACCTAGCCGAGTTAGGCAAGTGCGCACGGAGGTTCTACCGCCTCCCCGGGTAACTTACTGCCTGGCTAATACGACACTTTCACAACACCCAGAGCTTACGAACCCTGCAACGGCCCCGTAACTACCGGTATTCCCAGGGGCAAAATCTTAGATGTGAGATTCGCTGCAGGTCTTGTCATCGTCCGAGATGATACCGCTATGCGACGTGACTTCCACAGCCAAGTTCAATCACGAGCTGGCCTGGCCATCTTACAGCGCCGGTAAGGGGTAATGACCGTCTCTCGTTTCTTCTTTGCGTAACCCCCAAGATCTTCGTAGCCTTGTCGTGCGGTGTGTGTTGATTCTAGTAGTGAAATAGTATCGAGTCTCTATCATACATATGCCTATGGTACGCAGACTACACACCTTCGCTTTGGGAACTTGGCACAAACGCCCACGCTATGACCCACGGGCCCGATCATCTTACATCTACCATCTCACTTCGCTCACGGACAGAAGGCTTACTCCAGACTATTGGTTCGGGTTTGCAGGACAACCGATAGGACACATCAACACTGGCATCTACGTACCAGGGTGTGCCAGCGACCAGGTATCTGGTGAGCATGACCACATGAGGACAGGGTATCTATGTTCCCGGACAGAACAGCCTTGCCATCAAGTCGCAGGCGGCCTCAGCGTGGTTCGTAAAATCGGACATCACCACCAAGCTTGAACTTTCGCGACAATGGCGAAACACATAAAATACCGAAAGGTTTTTGTTGATCAATAACCTGTCCAACACCACTTTGAGTTGTGTTGGAAGCCGCCATGACAAAGATCCAGTCACGACTCAAGTTGACAGAAAGTACAGCCCCATTATTATCCATCCCAGTAGATCCAAACAAACTAAAAATAGAGATAACAGTTCCTCATCCCGAATGGTACACGCCCACTTTCCAAGCTCCTTCAGCAAGTGTCGATGCCCATATGACTTGCCGCCTTGTATTGGCTAAGCGGTGCACAGTTTGGTGGGGACCATGTGCCTGAGCGACATTCATGGAGGTGTTGATGATACTAGTTCGGGCCGTTCTCGTCGTCTCGTCGACCTACAGAGCGCTGCGGAGAGGCGTCGCGAGTATCAACGCTGTCGCGGCGTTGAAGAGACTGAATGCAAGCACCCATCTGGAAAAGGGCGAGGAAAGTAACAGTTCCAAAAAGGATCTTCATCGTTGTGGTATACCCGAGAGGGTCAAGAGACAGCCGTTGAGAGGCTTCAAATAAGAGGGAGAAGAAAAAAAAGGTAACGACTGTTGTAGCTTTCGGACGAGGCCAGGAATGACAGGAGCTTTTAAGGGCTTACATAGAGAATCAACTGCCCCTTACAGACCGGAGGACTCAGGAAGCAAAGCGACAAGATCTTACTAGCTCTGAATTGGTGGAACAAGGTATCTTGTAATACTGAAATTTGGTTTCTACTAAGACGGCCGCCGCGGTCGAGAAGCCAAGGACGGCGCTTACCGGTACATTCATGGAAACGAGTATCTTGGCAACAACGATGTGGGGAAGGTGGAATCGCGTCTTGTATAGAGTGGGAAACAGTCAATAGTTATGTTTACGAATATGTGTACGTACTACAGGCGCGGCGTACTCGAGATCGAAGAGAACCCCTGGACTTATCACGAGGAGGTGACAGTAGCGGACCCCGACTGTAGTGAGATCTTGTTGGTACAGCAAGAGGCTACCACCTAAAAGGACGATGGTACGGGAGTTTGCGTCTTACGTAGCTCCTAGGCCTTTAGGAAAACACTGTGTGACCCGCTTCCTGCATCGAAATCACGTATATCTTCTCTCAAAATGGACTGCCAGTATGGACCGCAACCGCCACTAAGCCAACTCCAATTATACACATTGATACAGCTCACGGATTATCATCATGTTACTACCTAATCAGCACTACCTACAGTTGGTGTTGCGAGATTTAAATAGGCTTATTATATACTAAAGGCTTCTTTAGCGATCAATAGAAAGTACATATCATAGACTAGACTACATCTCTCCCATACCAGAACCGCGGCAAGTACCTAAAATCAGTAAAAAAAGACCCACCAACGTAGCCTCTTACCCTCCCATCCATCTATCCACATCCATCACCCTCCAAACCTATTCACCCACACCATCTCACCGACTCAGCCAACACGCACGGCAGAAGCATAAAAGAACAATAACACTACAACCTCATTCGACTCCAAAACCACTTTGTGTATCCGCAAGAGTAGGTAAAATACATTAATTAGATAATTTGAGCACTGCATGTCACATAATCACGTGACATACATGGGGCACAGACTATGGGTGTATTGTAGGTACTCTGTCTGCGAGAGCTAGTTAAGTAGACTTGTTGCACAAAAAACGTTGATGTTTAAGTAAGTACGTTGTGGTGTAGGTGTGTAGATGTAGTAGGGTGATGAGTGTCTGGGCATCTGTGTGGTGTGTGTATGTGTGTGTGGGGGGGATGTGTGGGATGTGATTTTGAGGGTGATGTTTACACTTTTTTTTACCCTTGCAGTCTTCTAACTCTACTATACTCCCTCAACACACCATATTTCTATCCCATCTTAGGCAACCACAGTCCTCCCCAGCCCCAACTCCTTCTGACAGACCCACCAACACCACCATCTAATCGTCGCATTTACCTCTTCCTCCACTCCGCCCTCCATGCATATCACTCTTGTAGTCTGCCTCATAATAGCCTTGTTTTGTAAACACCCCACCACACACACACGACACTTGAACGTTACTTCTTCTTAGCTTATTGCCTCTTTGTTTGTGTCTAAATTGTATCTTCTAGTTTAGTTTGGGCTGCTGGATGGGGAAAAGGAGTGCGCTGGGTAAGCGGTGAGAAAAGTGGAAAATCTGACTATATATGGTGGAGTTCTATTTGCGATTAGAGGCGGGGCGATGAGGTAGATAGGTAAAGAGATAGTAGACTTTAGGTATATCTTCTTTGAATGCGCTGTGTGAACAAGCCCAGTCA